CACATTTCCCTTGAAACAGTGCCATAGTTGCCAACATTTGAAAAAAAATTCCAAGGACATTTTGCAGCACAGCTATCAATTACTGTCTGTGTATAATATCCCTGGACAGTCAGTGCTCTCTGTATAATACAGGCTTGTGTGTATAATAAATTGGGACAGTCAGTGATCCCTGTATAGTGCTGCTCTCTGTATAATACAGTTTGTGTTTGTGTATAATATCCCAAGACAGAGAGCAGCACTATACAGGGAACACTGACTGTCCCGCGATATTATACAGACACAGACCTGTATTATACAAAGAGCAGTAGACATGTGCAATTCGTTTCGGTCCGAATATGAATTCGGACGAATTTCGGGAAGTACCCGAATGTCCGAATTGCCGAGGTCCCGAAGTTCCGAAATTACCGAATTTCCAAAGTGTCAAAATTGCCGAAGTACAGTATTGCCTAAGTACTAATATACTTATCCAGTGAAAGAAGGAGAATGTTACATTGTAGCCACAGTCTGCTCACTGTTTAATAGACATGCCCCTACTCACGGTATAGCTAGTAGGGGCATAATTTACTAATACTAAGTAATCTTTACTTAGTATTAGTAAATTTGGCTGAAAGACCAATTTAGGTCTTTCAGTCTTTTAGTAGATAGCTCCCTAATACCGTGGGAATTAGGGAGTTATCTACTAAGCGGCTGCAATAGAAGTCCCGAGGTGCCGAAGTCCCGAAATTCCGAAATGTCGAAGTTGCTGAATTTCCGAAGTGTCTAAGTTGCAGAAGTTCCGAAGTCTTGAAGTGCTGAATTGCGAAAATCCCGAATTTCGGAATGCCGAACCGAACCGAAAATTTTCCCCATGCACATGCCTAAAGAGCAGCACTATACAGGAAGCACTGACTATCCCGGGATATGATACACACACAGACCTGTATTATACAGAGAACAGCACTATAGTATTATACAGATAGATGAGCGTATACCCCATGTCCCAATCTCTAGACTACTAGTACCTGTTAACAGCAGCTCCCAGACGCGTGTAACAGGGCTAAAGTGTGCGGCAGCTCACACAGATGATTCAGCGGTAAAGCGCACTCGCTGGCAGAGCCAAACTGAGAATCCAAAGCAGCCCTGGAAAAAATGTATGCCATTCCTACAAGTCAATATATATATATATATAGATATATATATATATATATTGTATAGTAAGCACACAAGCTCACTGACATGCGCAAATAGGCTTACTGACAGACAAAACTCTATGACTCACACACACGCTTACTACAGACAAACTCACTTGTATAAACACAAGGCTCACTACAAAGAAGTTCAGGGACACACAGAAGCTCACTAAACACAAGCTCACTGGCACACACATCCTCACTAAATAGAAGCTCACTGACACACACACACATTTTTGAATGCACACAGACTCCAGAATGCACATAGGCTGATTTACACATGTACACACAGACTGCTGAGTCCATACATACACACTGCTGAGTCCATACACACACACACAGACATACAGACTGCTGAGTCCATATAAACACTCAGACACACACACACAGACTGCTGAGTCCATACACACAGACACACACACACAGACTGCTGAGTCCTTAGACACACACAGAGACTGCTGAATCCATACATACACACAGACTGCTGAGTCCATACACACACACACACAGACTGCTGAGTCAATACACACACACACACTGCTGATTCCATACACACACAGAAGCTTCCTCACTAGCAGACAGACAGACACACACACACAGAGACACACAAGCTTCCTCACTAGCAGACAGACACACACACACACACACAAGCATATTAAGCCTACCTGTCACTGGAGCCTGTTACTGGGCGGTCATCTTCTGGCCTTTCCAGCAGCAGCAATGTCTGCTGCTTAATGGCGGGGTGGGGCTTATGTGCGGGAGGTGGGGCTTCATTTGGGGGCGGGGCATGTGCTGAAAACACCCAGCAGCGTTCCAGCTCCTCTTTCCTACATTTCCTTGGGCTATAACACACTGTTACAGTCCGAGGGAATAATGTAAACATATGGCCAGCAAGTTGCTGGCATTTGGGGGGGCCCAGCATGATGTAGGGGGGGCCATGACCCCCCCCCAGCGATGCCACTGACTGACTGACTGACAGACATACATACACATACATACTGACAGACACATACTGGCATACATACATACTGACAGACACACACATACTGGCATACATACAGGCATACATACATACTGACATACACACAATACATTTTTCAGCCACCCTCCTCTTCCTTACCTTTGTATTGCAGGAGGGTGGCTGGGGATGATGGGCGTCGGCTGCCTCTCCTCTTGGCCTTCAGGCTTCGTCCTCCTTCCCGCGCAGAGTAAGCTGGGAGGAAGTGACTGGCTGTCACTTCCTCCCAGGAGCACTTGCGTTGCGGCTGCATTATTACAGTGCTGACCGGGCCCCTGGAGAAAATAGAACCCATTGGGTGGCCCTAAATGCTTGGGCCACCTGATGGCCCCCATCAGCATGTGGGACCCGGTGCAGATGCACCAAAGGCAGTTCTGCTGCTCCACGTGAGGGCCGGGCCCGTGACAGCCGTCGCGGTTGTCACCCCCTGATGGCGGCCCTGTTCGAGCCAGTGAGTGTGTGATACAATGGGTTTAAGACACTACAAAAGGTGGGATAATGGTGTAAAAGCAATGACAAACAGAAGATGCAAAAAGGGAAAATGGAAACAAAAAGCATACATGTATACATGTATTCATTGTGGGTATATCAACTAAATAGTGATTTCTTCCCCACACTCCCACCCCATGTCGGCAGTAGAGTGCTCCTTTAACCTTTAAGATTCTGAGAAACTGCAATCATTACATTGCAGAGTTAAGACTGTCTCTAGTGGCACTTCCTGCTTGCTAGGCGACTTTTGGTCACCTGACACTGGACGTTCTTACACTCTGCATGAGGCCATCCAGCGTCAGTAAAATCTTCATAGGAAAGCACTGTAGCAATTCTTTCCTATGGGGAGGGCCTGATGCGCTTGCGGAGCTCTCCGTGCCTGCGCTTTAGCTCCCTCCCCTCTTGGGTGACATTTCAGAAGGAGGCATAGCAACGACACAGCGGCAAGGGAGAACGGCGCTAGAATCAGGTAAGTACAGTCATTTTTTTTTTTAATCCCTTACAGTGAGTGGAAGGGGTGGCAGAGGGAGCTCTAGTGCTAGGAATACAGCTTTGTATTGCTGGTATTATAGTATCCCTTTAATAATTTTTTGAGCAATGGATTTGCTCACTATTTGTTGCATGGGTGGAACAATCCCCACCAAGGATTTGAAGCTAGTATTCCAGGAAGATGTGCTCCAGAAACAATGATAGATTAAAATAAATAACAATAACAGAAAAGGCTGGCAGGTTCAAAACTGTTAAACTGTTCATAAGCAATGTGAAAATTGACAGATTACTGTTCTATGGCGCCTACTATTTCACCATAATCTATACAACACACCTTAGCGATTATGGTGCTAAGAATGTCCCTTTAAAGAGAGATTCTAAACTGAACTTTATCTAACACCTAAAACTAAGCATGTTATTATTTAATAAAATAATAGTACTATTTAGGGTGTGGAAGCTGGTCAGTGTAAAAGTTATTATTCCCCTAGACATGCACTGCAAGTCATTGTAAGAAATGATCTCATTTGAGCTCACTTGATCAAAACCAACAGAGGGTGTGAACCTAATACAAACAATAAAGCAGTATTTTTGCAGGATGAAAACAGATGTGCATTACATAAGTAATGTGAATTCTACATGTTTCAGCCCTGATATTTTTTGTTAAGCAAAATTGGGTTTTGGTAATCACGACACTATTATTGTTTTTGAAATGACTTACCTTTAAACATATGATAAATGATTCAATGATAAAATATTTTAACCCAAGCTTTGGTTCCTTCTGTTGCGATGGTAACAAACTGAATCACTATGGAGTTGCTTCCTCAGAGGTTATATGGGAGGAATATTCCCCCTGTTACCTAGTAATGAACTGCTATGAAACCAGTCAGGATTCGGAGTTTTCCCTTGGCTGCTTTACGGAGGTCAGAACTTCCTTTCAAGCAGCATATAATGGATTGCAGACCTAGCTAACTATTTTCGTAGTTGGAATTTGTAAGGTGACAGGGATGTGTTAAACTTGTACAGTGCATTAGTACAGTGTTTTGCAGCTACATTATCTTTCTAGGTTACACCAATTTGTCTCCAGTGCAGTCTGTCGGTAATACCCAGTTGATGGGCAATATCAATAGGCAACATGATAAACTGACAGAACATTGTCAAATGTGCACTTCAACAAACATCTGATGATGATCATGGGCAGTGCCGGTGCTCTTCTGCCAACTAGTACTCCATGCTGGCATGTAGGAATGCACACATCTGACACTTTACTTTAGTCTCTGCTGCTAACCTTAAATGGATAATATAGTGCCTATAGTGCCCTCTGGTCCTCCCCCCCCCAGAACATAAAGGGTTAAAAAACAAACAAACCTATTTACTCACCCAAGTCTATCGCTGATGTCCCTTGGCCTCCTCTGATGTAATCCGTTGCTGGAACCTAACGCATGCGTGTCGACCCTATAGGAAAGAATTGCTTCAATGACTACCTATGGGGATTTAACTGACACGTACAATTGAGGTATGGTGAAAAAATAATAAACTGTGTGATATTATATACAATTCTTGAGGAATATATAAAACAAAAAAATAAGCTATAGATTGTGCTATTTATTTTGTATGTAGGTTTTGTTAATATTCATGCCCTGCTTGGCACACCGGGCATAATATTTAAAATAAATTAGCACCTGCAGTGCCATATACATGGAGCATGCGCACGTATAGAGCTATTGAAGGAATGCCTTGTTTAAGAGTTTTTCTGAAGATTCCTCAGCACTCATGAGCGCATCCAGGACATATTGGGAAGGTGCAGTCTTCTTCAATGTGGGTGTGTAGTGGGTGCCTTTTTTCTTCATTACTTTACTTCCATTGCATTATTCACCCAAATAAATGCTTCACTTGTGTTTAATGGATTGAAGTGGCAGTTCTACATTGTTGTGTTTTATTTTTGCTATCCACAAGGTGGCTTCACTGCATTATTTTCTCTCTCAGAGCAGACACACGTATGTTATCAAGTCTCAATTCAGACTCCTGTGATACCACAGTAGAAATGTATTTTTACTAATTTGCGTCACAGATATCAGAGAGTAGGAGTGGAGAATTACTGTCAAAACACAGCGTGAATGAGAGTCCAAAGTAGCATTTGTTTAGTTTCTGTGAGTGGGAGAAGTACCAGACTATTGAAAACCTCACACTAATAGCAACAAATAAGAAATGGAAGTTATCTTCAATATATGGACAATAAAAATATACTTTGCTCACTTTATTATACATTACCTATTCTGCCTTACCTGTCTGCTTTACAAATTAAGTAATGTTATTCTTTTGGCATCACTCACTCATAGCTCTTATAGTAAGAAACAATATTTTTTACCTTGTGGGATTTACCTATTAAACACCAAATTGTTGTGAATTGCCTTATACATTTTACTTATTACTGGCATTTAGAAAATGACAACATATTGCATAGCGCTGTACGAATAGGGTAGGACATATAATATGCACAGACCAATACAAAAGGCCTTGCCCGTGATCTAAGATCTAGCCATTGGAGCTCCTTTTTTATGAAGTGCTTAGATATACAGTCAATGAGCTTACAATCTAAAGGATATAATGGGGATTTGATATACTATATAATACATGGAAGGCCCATCAGTTTGTAAACAACATAGCAATGTTTGCCATACAGATAATGCATTTAGTTGATAAGCTCATATCACAAGAAACAATCAGCACTTTCAGGACTGCACATATTTAGTGCAATTAAAGAACTCTGCCATGGACTGAAAGCTCTCAGTGCAGTTTGTGAAGAGCAACCACTAACGACACGCAAATACAGTGCGGAGTACCAGAAGCGGGACACAAATGAGATGCATTAAGCATAGTATTACATATTCCCATCCTACAGCCATGAGTATAGAGGAAAAAGCAGTTTCTCTTCTTAAACCCTCACCTACAGCAAATCAGCAGGTAGTGTTGAGACTTTGAACAGTCCTTGTAATTAATTTCTTACACGGCCTTGCCATAGCCCAAGGGATAGAGAATTGAGTTTATTGGAAGCTGCTCAGATTATCTTCTTTACACCACCACCAAGAAATAGGAATGGTCATCAATAGTGTGTCTAGAGACAGAAACTAGTGTTAACAATATTTAAACAGACAAAATGAAAGGATTCAATAAAAAGGAACTGTCATCTAGCTGAGATTAGCACAACCCAAATTACCGATTTAAAGTTTGCTATTGGTAGTGATTTTTTTTATTAATCCATTTCTATTTTGCAAAGTACATACATTCATTAATACGTGCAGTGCTAGTGAAATAAATTCTAAGCACATGTGCACATACGGAATTTGTCCTTAGATGCTCAAATGTGAGACATCATGTGTTGACGGAGACATGGAAGCGGTAGAGGCATAATTCACCTCAGTAAAATCTGAAATCATGTTTACAGAGGTAAAGTAACGAGGAACTGTCATTTCTCAGTTCCTCTTTAAATTCGCCCAACAATAAACTGTGATGAGTAATTCAGATATTCTGAATTTTCATCCTGTGCAAAAGTATGTTACTCATCTCTTTGCATTCTAGGGTTCTCCTGTCCGTTTTGTGTGGCTGCAAAAAAAAAAAAGAAAATAAGAAAAAATTTTAATGTACTTGCTGAATATAAAAAAATTCCCCCGAACCATAAGGAAATGCTGTAGGTATACAATACAGTCTCATAATGGGTTCAGTACGAGCATTTTCATGAGCACTCTTACACACAGGAGCAGTAAATATCTTGTATATAGTAATGGAGAAAGATGTGAATTGGGTATTTCTGGCAGTGTACATGAGAAAAGCTGGACACAGTTCATACCTCGGATTATCTGATATCTCACAAACCAAAGCTGAATATATCTACAAAGGTGATACACATGTCTTGACAATGAGCTGTGCACAACATTGTAAAATGCATTTGTAAACTCTTCAGAAATCATGTGCATGTCACAGTGACTTTACACATCAGAAGTTTTCACTGGTTTACTACCAGGTCCACTAAGACAAAGTACCAGATGCTAAAATATTCAATTCAATAAAGAAATGTTGCTTTGAAAGCCGCTTTAATAACACGAATATAAACGTAAAAATATATACATATATTCTGTAGTAGTGTGTCTTTCAAAAATATTAATAAAATGTAGCAATTAGAGAAATGGCAAAATTTCTCCACTAAGTATACCCAGGCCACGTACAGAAAAAAAACCCTGTGTAATTCTAACATAGCTGTTGACATTTTCATTCCCAACTGCTTAAAGTAGTTCTGTCACCTTCTGGGGTCTTTACTTGTTTTGCAAAGTGATGGTGCCATCACAGTTTGGTGTGTGGTGCCCTGGGAACTAGCAAAAGTTAGATTTACTTAACTGATGCTGTTCCTGCAGATACCACTATTTTCTTTCTTCAGCTCCTGGAGCTTCACCCTCCAGGAACCCAGGTCTGTGCTGTACTCTCGTGCATGTGTGACAGTACAGCACTAATGTCTCTAGGATCCCGTGAGAGCCTCCACAGTCTCACAATGGGTGACCAAACTTGACAGGTAGCTCCACCTTTTATTAAGTGAAGGAAAAATAAATTATGTATTTTTGGAGATAAAAAAGAAAGTAAGGATGGATTAGGAGTCCGGAAGAGAAAAAGAACATATTTAAAGAAGGTAAGTTTAGAGTGACAGAGCCACTTTAACTGTGCAATGAATGTACAATATCATACAAATCCAATAATTCTGAAATCCTGGGTTTGGACCCAATAATATGTTCTCATGCCATTTTAGTGGGTCCCCATATTTTGGAAAAGATACATCATATTCATCAGGTCCTAGGCAACAAACAAGTTTACCATAGCAGCATGCCCTTCCTCAACACCTTGGCCATTTTTGTTAAACTTTTATGACAAAGAAGGGTCAGTGAGATAGTTCAAATAAACATAACAAGGAAAGGGTTGCTGTCAAAAGAAGACTAAAGACAGGTGGCTTGAAAACATGATTTTAAAATTTAGGCTAAATTAATTGGTTAGAAAAAAACATATCAACAATGCAGCTGTAATAATATCTCCCATTTTAGCTGGAAGTATGCAACTTTATTTTTGGTTCACCACAGCTCACGGTTTTGTGAGTGAAAATGGAAGTGATAGTTCCTCTTTAATTTGTATACAATCCAAAGAACACAACTTTTCTAATTTATTTTGAAAACATAGTATCATGGGAAAGCATTGTAATTACATGTTTACAAGTACTATAAACTTGCAGCTGCACCAGTTTCTACACACGTGACATATTTATTATACTTCAGTAAATTGGTGAATCATGATTTCACATTTAAGGCCAAAATAGCTGAAGAAAAAAAAAAAAAAAAAAATCAGCAATGCTACCAGTTCAGCAGCTACTTTGACCTTAACTTTTAAATCTCACTTTAGTGAATAACCCCAATAGTTATAGCTTGGCTATTTTTATCTGAGTTTTGCCAGATTTAATCTGTTAAAATTCAATGTTAAATAGACATGCAAGACACCGAAATAAAACTGGCTTGGAACGCACCTTTTCCAAGCCAGTTTTGTGAATTGGGATTCCTCATTGGCTTAGAGCCCCTGCCCGGCGACATTACGTGCACCCTGAAAGTGACATTTCTGAAGCTGGATGTCGTCTGAGGGGCAAGTGGAGGATGAGGAAACTTAGGGTTAAACTGGCACCATAACTTAATTTAGATGAAGCTTAGACTGCTTGAGGGGCAGTTTAGACTGCTTAAGGCAACATAAGTTAATTTAGATTAAGTTTAGACTACTTAAATGACCACTATAGTGCCAGGAAAACAAATTTGTTTTCCTGGCACTATCGGGTCATTAGGTGCCCCCCACCCTCAGGGCCCACCTCCCGCTGGGCTGAAGGGGTTAAAACCCCTTCAGCCACTTACCTTTCTCCAGGGCCAGGCTGGGGAACTCTCCACCCCCGCTGACATCAGAGCCAAATGTACATGCACAGCAAGAGCCACACGCGCATTCAAACCGCCCATAGGAAAGCATTTCTCAATGCTTTCCTATGGACATCCAGTGTCTTCTCACTATTACTTTCACAGTGAGAATTGCATAAGCAACCTTTGGCACTCCAGATGTGTACTACATCCCCCATAATGGTGGCAAAGCATCATGGGAGGTGTAGTCCAAAACATCTGGAGTGCCAAAGGTTGCCTACGCCTGCACTAGAGGCTGGAGTCTCTGAAACTGCAATGTTTACAGCTGCAGGGTTAATCCTAGCCGGACCTGGCACCCAGACCACTTCATTAAGCCTATAGTGGTCCTTTAAGGCAACATAGGTTAATTTAGATGAAGTTGTTATGGTGCCTTAAGCAGTCTAAGCTGCCCATTTAAGTACCCTTACAGCCAGCATCCAAAGTGAATTCCAACCATAGGAGCCATATATGGAGAAAGACCGAGTCTGTCATAAAGGAGACATTTTACCCATTAGTAAATAACCCAGTGTTACCCAGCCTGCAGCCTAGCCCGGGGCAGGACGGCTGATTTCCCGGGATTCCCCCCCGCTGACAGGCGTCACTCAGCCTAGCAACCAGCAGGGGGCATGGCGGCTGGGGGGGGACTGTCCCAGCTCCTGAGAGCTCTGTTTCCCTCCTCCCCGACCGCCACACAGCCTGACCTCACGCCCCTCCCTTCCTTCCCCCATTGGAAGCCCCCGACATCCGGGTTCTATTAGATTAGCTCCTCCCCCCGTGCCGTCCAGCTCTTCCTATTGCCCCTGTATTCCAGGACAGCAGCCCGTGTAGCCGGACCCTGGAAGTAACAGGCTCCGCCCCCGCTTCCGTCAATAACCGCACGATAACCCCGCCCCGTGCTAAGCCCCGCCCTTCCACCCACAGGTCCCCCCTCTATTGCCATGGTTTCCTCCGCAATCCTTCTAGTTGCCGTAGTCACGTAGCGAGTTGGTCTGTCCCCCCGCCTACCCCGATGTGGAACCGCCCATCTGTGACTGGTTCACGATAACATTCCCCACTGGCCCCGCCCACTGCCTGGCTCCAGTGTTTGCTGCTCCCTGTGTCAGCAGTGTGTGTGTGTCCGGCCGGCGGGTGGGGTCTCTGTCAGCCCCCTGTCTGTGAGCCCCAGCATTGCCCGGGGATGGACTACACCGGCCCCTCATCGCCCCTCTCCCCCCACCGCCAGCCATGATGCTCCTCACCAGGAAGCCGGAGGGCCCCATTACAGCAGGTACAGTATGGTTTAGCAGTGTGATGGGGGAGGGGGTTACTGTAACTGTGTGCCATGCGGTGTGTACAGCTCAATGGGGGCTCCAACTACACCTCCCAGCATGCTCAGCCAGCCCTCAGGGTAAAGGGGAGCCAAGCTTAGCCATCAGTGTGCTCACTACAGAGACTACACTACCCATCATGCTCAGCCAGCCCTCAGGGTGAAGGGGAGCCAAGCTTAGCCATCAGTGTGCTCACTACAGAGACTACACTCCCCATCATGCTCAGACAGCCCTCAGGGTGAAGGGGAGCCAAGCTTGGCCATCAGTGTGCTCACTACAGAGACTACACCTCCCATCATGCTCAGCCAGCCTTCAGGGTGAAGGGGAGCTAAGCTTAGCCATCAGTGTGCTGGGTGAGCTGCCGAGCCTACACCTCCCATCATGCTCAGCCAGCCCTCAGGGTGAAGGGGAGCCAAGCTTGGCCATCGGTGTGCTGACTACAGAGACTACACTCCCCATCATGCTCAGCCAGACAGGATGCTGTAGTCCACACTGTGTGCCAGGCTGCATGTATAGTGCCCTCAATAGCAGCACATGTACAATGCACACTGCATGGAGTGAGAGGGGATACATTTTTAATGTGCTCACCCTGGTATGTAAAAGGTTCTGCACACATAGCTGTGCTTTACTTATAAAGCCTACACAATCTACCAAAGTGAATGATTCGATAGTATAATAATATTTGTAATAATAATAATATAATAATGTGGGGATGTAACTGTGCTAGTTTCAGTGAGTTCTCCATGGTTGGAACAGACACATCATGTTTGTCACCCCAGACAACTGGACACAATTACCTGCTTACTGTAGAGTCGGTCAATACCTCTCCCATTGCTTTGGAGGTTTTAATGACAATGAGAAGAGTTTAGCTGAATTACATTTTAATCATTGGGTGCTATGCTGTTTTTACAATTGAAGAACTGGTTAAAAAGCTATAATTTGTGTCTGTCAATAAAAGGTTATCACCCACACAATGGATTAAAATGTTGTCATAAAAGCAGACAAATCCAGATAATGCATAAACGAAAAATAGCCGTAAACGCAATATTAAAATGTACATGCATGGATATATTTATTAACATTTGTTTTTTAAAATCTAGCCATTGTACTGAGTGCTTTGTATATTGTAGCATAATATACTCATTTAACAGGGATAATAAATATGCAGACTTGCAGGGAGGGCCTTGTATACCTCATGCACATTTCTCTAATAAGTACATATGGAAGAGAACATTGTATTTCTATAGGGTTTATTTACTGAAATCTAAATTGTAATCAATTGAAAACCAAATTGGACAATTTTGGCTAGTTGTGACTATAGCTGAGTTGTAATTTTACCCCTAAATTAGCAATTTTAGCCTTAGATTTGCAATTCAGTTTTAAATTCACTGTTATTTGACATTTAGTGAATACTGTGTGTCACTATTTTGATTGGTATGAAACATAGTTTGCATGGTTAAGTAGCCGAGATGAATGTGTCAACAGCCCTTATCTATATTTTAGCATTATTGACCTGTCACCACATATCTGATCCACCTTCTGCTATTGATGGCAGATGTCCAGTAATGTCTAGTTGCCAGTTTTGACTGTGCCTAGTAATTTGCATACACGTGCATTTAAAAATAGCATTTAAAAAAAAATTAAAAAAATAAATTTATATATATATATATATATATATATATATATATATATATAAAAATAATTTTGTGTGTGTACATTAGTGAGCATTGTATTGTTGGGAAATATGCGTTTGAGGGGTGCTGGAGACATCATAATATTCCATGAGACTGAAGGAATCATGAATGTCTTTAGAACCCCAATATGCCATTATTTTCCACTAGCACATAGTTGACCGTTATGTATCTTTCTTTTTTATATTACGTTGTTTTTAGGGTTAAACGAACACTAGTTCTAGGAATACAAACCAGTATTCCTAACATTTCAGTGTCCATGCCCTTATCTAGAGTAGTCTTGCTATGAAATGAATTAAAATAATAATAATTACTCATCTTTGTCCAGTGTTGAAACTCCCTCGGCACTGCTTACCTCTCCGCCTCCGACGACACCATTGAGGAGGCATGGCCTCCTCTGGCGATGGTCCAATCCAATGTTTCTCATGAGCTGCTACGTCACGTGACTGAGTTTTGCTTGGTCTGTGGAAGCGTGAGTGCCTCTTCTGGCTGTCAGTATGACAGTCACATTAGGCATGTTAACCCTTCAGTGTAAAGATGACCCTTTCTGCAAAATGACAGTGTTTTCCCTTGAAGTGTTAAACGTCCAGGACCACTGCACCCAGACCACTTTATTAAGATGAAGTAGTCTGAGGGACTTTAGTGTTCTTTTACGGTTCCTTTGATCTGGAGCATTACATGATCTGCTGGTTATGCATGTCATGTTTACATTAGCAACTCCCACTACTCTTGGACATGTATCTAACAGTGCTGCACTGCAGCTCCACACTCTACTATCCTGTTCCTAGCATGCTTACCCTTAGCCATCCTGCTACTGGTTTAAACAAAACTCCCCATATCTGGTAAAGCACACTTACTGCTTTTTCCCTAACACCTAAAAACACACACATTCACAAACACTTTCCTTGAAATACAATTCAGTTACATCTCAGACCTCACTCCCTTCCCCCATTGGTTTCTGCTCCCTACCATCCTGACTTCGATATGTCCTTCTACATAGATACATAAGCAAGTATCTTTCTTCCACCTGATTCTGCGTTTTTATGTTTCGTTTGATGCTTGTATGCTTTTGTTTTATGTACTTTTCCATGTTTATTTCATCAGTGTTCTCTCTAAAGACTGTTATTACATCAACCCTGTTTGATGACACGTGACTCTGTTCTACGTTCCTTTATAATTTAATATCCCAGTGTCCTATGTAGTCTGATTATTCTATTCATGAAGATATTATTACTAATCTATATAAAGCACTCACACCCTGGGTTAGAGTGCTATAAAAGAAATTAAATGAAGTGGTAGTGTATAGTGTGATTAATGTAAAATATTTTTTTTCTCTAATTTGATAATTTGCAGGACTTTTTTAAAAATACAATATATTTTAACATTATGCTTTACTAACTACGTCATGCAGCAGTATTAAAATAATTTGAATGCCTGGTATAAATTAACATAAATTTTTTTTTTTTTTTCCAATCTACCTTGCAGTTGCACAATTAATGTTTAAGCTTATCTATGTATATTGAAATATATTTAACACAACTATTTTAAGAACAGCAGGTATATTTCTTTCCGTGTCTGATTTATATGCCTGTCATAGGAAACCGTATCATGGCATTAATAATTTGCACCTCTATGATTTTGCTAATTTAGGATAGTAAGTGGGTTTTTTAGTACTGTAGATTCTTATTGAATGATGGCCACTACATGGGAAGCTGTTTGTCCATAAAACCCAATGCCACTTTTGCCTGATTGAGGGATTTAATAAAAATCCAGTAAAGCTTTTAATCCTTTGTTTTATAGAAGATTAAGGTAATCCTGTTACATACATAACAGCCAATGTTGATCATTTAACTTGCGTATCACAGAGTTTAGCGATGTAAACCATGTTTAGATTGTCATTGCATTGTTTAGGTTTTTTTTTTTTAATGACAAGGCAAACAGCGCACATATTATTGCTGATACATATTTAGGGGATCTGCATTATACATTTGGGACTACTAGTATCTGTGGTAAAAAAAAAATTGTTAGATGTGCAAAATGTTAAGTGTTTAAACTAACCACTATAAATGTTAGTATTCTGGGACGAGGTAAACCTAAGCAAACGTCGACTCCTTTTTTTTTTTTCTTTTTTTTTTTATACATCTGTTGGCTATTTTTATGCACACTTAACTGGTCATTACAGTTGTCCTGTTTATTAGAATGCAATGCCCAGCAGAGATAAGTAAATACCCTTTCACCTCTGCTGTTTAACCCCTTAAGGACCAAACTTCTGGAATAAAAGGGAATCATGACATGTCACATAAGGGGTTAAACTGGACACAGACTGCCATGTACCCATGGTTCCTCACACCAGTGGAGTTATTCATAGATATACTGAATTAATTGTGGCCCATGCTTTAGATAGAGATATGTTTCTTCTAAAGTTAAAATAATACTATAATCCTCTTCTCTGACATCTGCTACTGATAAAGTGGAAGAATAAGATTGAGTTATTCACAAATGTGTTGGGGATTTTAAAGTGAATACAAAGTGAATTTTACATTTTAGAACCAAATATTCTCAGTCAGCTATATTTTCATTTTAGCTATTTTGACCTCAAACTGGAAACTAATTTTGAATTCTTGATAATGAACTCTTTAGTGAACATCCCTGGATTGAATTATACTATTTATACACAATTCCTACCCGTAAACTTTCTCTTATGTTATGTTTTGAGCAAAAAAGAGTGTTTGCTCTCTGCACATTTTTTGCAAACAATTGCATCCACATAACAATATGACTACTTTATGACATATACTACCAATAATATGCAGTAACACAGCATCTACAGGTCTCTGTTTTAAGTTAAGTTAAGGGGCCTTCTTGATCCTCAATAGTTGATTGTTTTCTTGGACCTGCTTTTTATTAATCTGTTGGTCTGGGCATGTTCTTATTTTTGCTTAGTTTTTTTCGAATTGTTAATATTTAAAGTAGCATTGGAAACCATGACAGTCTGGCTCAGGGTGGATTAATTCAACAATCACATTGATTATAATACTTTGGTTATATTTACTTACTTGGTGTCACAGATTGAAAAGACAGCTTAACCTAACCTTTATAAATGTATTTCCCGTTCGTATTTCAAAGGTAAAAAGTTAGCAGAGTGCTTCTACATCAGCATCAATATTTTGGATGGGGTCCTTGCTTTCATCATCTTTTTGACGCAGGAACTTTTTTCTATCTATGATAGAGTAGACAAAGGCTGCGTGTTGGAATTTATTTCCATGGAAAATACTTTTGTCCGTTGTCTTGTACGCATGAATTGTTTAAATAGTTATCCTTTTTTAGGGATTGACTTTTATTCTTTCTCTCTCACATATTTGTAATGTCTATATAAAAAAAGATTTGCACTCTAGTGACTCTCATCATGAAAATATTGCATTTACTTTCATAAACTTAAAAATTGGTCGATACTTTAAACCAGAAAATGTGTAGGATCCTCTCTTTTAATTTTCAAATTGTCACCCCCTTCCCAATGAGTAATTCATAAAGATGGAATTTCACTGAAACTCCAAGACAGTCAAGAGATATCCTGAGACAAATTAGGGTCTACTTTGTCTTTGTATATTTCATATGCCTGACACTTCTAGACACTTGGCGGAGCTCCAGCCATCAAGAAGTGTAAATTCCCAGATTTATCTATGGAAGATCTCCTGTACTCTCTAGCATGCACAAGTACTAGCTGTACTCTCTAGCATGCATGCCCTGGGCTGGACTGCAAACTGCATTGTGCCTTTAGCATCCATGGCCCATTTTAATTTCTGAGAGTGGCTTAGAGCACCTGCAGTTTGTAAATATCATACAGCTATAAGACATCCTACAAGGACTGCCAATCAGCTGGAATATTCAGGTCCATGTTACCTTATACAAGTATTGTCCGTACTGTGTGTGGCGTCTGCACACAGAGAGAAAGCTCGGTCTCCCTCCCAAAAGGGGTGTGTAGTCTGCAGGTCTATCTCTAGCAAAATACTGCTCATTAAACCTTGAATCTGGTTGTGTATAAACTGATATCATCTGCAGTATATCTGCTCCATTCATCCATACATTTTGCAGGTATGAAACTTTTTCTTTTTTAATGTATTAAAATATTCTGTTTTTAGCTTTTTAATATTTTGTTGTGAGAAATATTGGTGCCTTTCCTAGAAAACTGTTCTAAGAAAAATATAGGGTGTGAATTCTGTTAGCGCACACAACAAATGTGAAGTCACATTTTCCTGGGGAATAAATCAGTAATTTGTTTTATTTATTATTTATTTATAAATACCTGATACAATCACATCAGGATGATAGCGTTATGAATGCAGATATGTATATATCTGTATTTGCACGTTTCCCATGATTTCCAGATTTTAGTTTTTTTCACCACTATGTGTAAATATCCCATCAGAAAGCAACATTTTCTCTGTTATCTGGATTTCCAGTTTGCATAGATTTAATTCATTTTTGTGTAAAGAGCTGAAAAACATCACCATTCCACTGTTTTTAATTTATTTATATTTGTTAGTAGGTTATTTCTTAATTTATTGTTTTATAAAATTTTTGAAAAATTTGTCAATAAAAAATTATTAGAAGGGGGAAAAAAAACACCCATCACAGAGGGTTAACCACAAGAGGTGGTAGTTTTGTTATTCATTTACTCAGTATCTCTGATTTATCCTCACTTAATCTTTTTACAGAGTTTGAGAAATGGAAATTTCCAGTTGAAAATTTAATGCAAAGTTAAAATACGGTGCTGTTGTTCGTAGAGCTTACAATCCTTTTGTAAATTGCCATATGTTAAAAACTGAGCAAGCTTTCAAGCTGTATTTAATCCATAAAATTGATCTTTGTTGAATATGTGCTTTTTCAGTATCATATTGTGAAATATTAGTTAATGTTAAATGTATACAGAATCTTGGAAGCTCTTTAATTGCTGGACACTTTGCGTGAGATTTTGTACACAGATGTAACCTGTTTTATTTTGACCTTCCCTCTGTTCTGTTCATCTCACCGATGCCTTAATTCGATGTGACTGTGCTGGCAGGAATGTTGTGTAATTGTAATAAGGCTCAGGCAGTCATGCAGGGTTATTCACTAACATGAGAATTTCAAGTTCAAAGCTATGATTCCAGTTTAGCTACTTAGGTCTTAAATTTGAAATTCACTTTGAATTCTCTTTTGTGAGTAACGGTGATAGTCTCGAATATAAATACATTTTGAGGATTTCTTCCAGAAATCAACAATTCTTTTTACCACACTTTGTAATTTTATCCCAGAGAATGTGGTCTATCTTCTCTTTTTTTTTGTTGTCTGAAGATTTCATAAATTCTTTCTACTATCGAAGCACGCATGCTGTCATGTATATTTTGTATTTGATGGGCTTCTTCCTGCACGACAATTCTTTTCAAATAACATGATAGAGATAGAGTATCAATAAACCCTTTCATTTCTTGGATTATTAGTCTGTTAGCATTCCTAAATTTGCATTTAGAACATTCACGAAAAGAGCCTTTTGTCCATTTCAAGTTGAAGGTCCATTCCATTTCCATCTTTTGTTATTTCCTATTTCTGTTAAATTTTGAATATCATGGGTTAGAGTTGGTAGCTCCATCGTTAATGTGAATCTGTCATCCACAAATGTGATAAGGTAATTTTTTGTTAAATTAAAGGGTTATTTTCTTACCAGTGTTTTTCCATAAAATATAATTTTTTGTTTGTAATAAGACCTATGCTTGTCCACCCTACCTCCAATGCCCTACAAAATAAAGCGGCTTAAACTTACCTCTTTTCCATTGCCGAGGCCAAGTTCTAACTCATCCTGATCCTTCTTGGCTGACATCACTTCCCATTGCTGTGCATGCTGGCGTCAAATGCCAGTTTTGCACAGAATTGGCAGTAGCCAGTTTGGAAATTTATTCTGGGCTGGCTAAAGATGCTGCTGGAAGTGTAGTTGTACCTCTGGCAGCAAAGGGGTCAAACTCCATATGTGTAGCATTTCAAAGTGAGGCATTGCTCATACAGACTCCAGGCAATATGACCAAGTCAAATCAGTGAGGTGGTCATGGTGCTTCAAGTAGTGCTACAAGCGCCATCAATATCTGCTCATTGCAAATGTTTAAATGTAAATCGGTTCCTGTGCCTGACACTTTTATGTCAAAAAAGGAACAGCTGGTACTTCCTTTTTCCCATGCCCCAGTATACATTATTATAGCACTTGTTGGGGTGAGTAGTATATAAATCACAGTTGTCGAGGCAGCACTTTAGCGTGCAAGATGACTTCACTGCTCACTGATGGTCCAGCTGTGTTCTGGCGTTCCTTCCATAGTTCCATGTATGTGGCACTTATTTTACATAGTATGTTCTATCCTTCGCTAAGTTACATGTTGGTATCAGGTTGTGGGTGAATATTATCTTTTAATTATGTTGATCAATATTCACTCAAATTGTAAGTGGGAAAAATAATGCATACCTAAAGGTTAATTATTTCTAACTACCATCATTAATGTGAGGCAAATGTACCAATCAATGAACTCCTATCTGCTGTTAGTATAACCTTTCAAAATAAACAGAAACTTTAGTTGTTGCCATAGGAGTCTGCTCGTCACAACACAGTTTTGAGCAGTGAATCATGCAAGAAAATCACAGGTATCTTATACAGTACAAACTAAAAGGCTGAATTGTATTGCCAAGCATGCTAGAAGATAATAACTTAAAATTACAGGCTCTCCTACATTGATAGACTATGTTAGATTTTTGTAGAGCGTTTTTTAAATTTTATTTAGGAATCTTCTTTTTTCGGGTGAAAGTGAATGTCACGCACAATGTATATTCAGTAGTTTAGCTTTTTTTTTTTATTATACGTTTATTCAACTAAAGTTAACATGGCAGTAGTTGTACATATGTGCAACAAGCTGGCATTTCTACTGGGGATGCACCGCACGTTATACCATTCATATGTGCACTGCATATTTAACTGGTTTCAATAAGACTTTGGATTAGATATTTTTTCCAGTTCTTGGTTTCAGTCAGCTGCCACTGCAGCTAATTCAAAAACACTATTATGCAAGTATTTCAACATACATGGTTATTCACTAAAGTAAGATTTTAATGTGAATTTGAAATTTAAGGTGAAAACTATTCTCCCAGTCCTTTATGCTTTCAGTTTAGCTACAGTGTCCTTGAAGGGATACTATAGTTACCAGAACTACAGCTTAATACAGGCATTGTAATGTAAACACTGCTTAGATACTGTCTAGCAGTAACTCACTGGTGGCAGTAACTCAGACAGCCCCTAGAGGGGCTTCCTGAGTCAGTGTTGCGCAAACGCTCCATGGTTAGAATTATGTGTTTGTGTTTCTAACGTTAGTGTTCCTTTAAGTCCACGGTCGCTTTAAGGAGCATGTGTGATCAGCTCTCATTCGTTTCCAGGAGGAAAACCTGTCAACATTCATGTTATAAAGTAATAAGTAGGAGAAAACCAATTAAAGGTTGTATTGTTGTAAATTGATTGATTAACATTGTATCTGTATTATTATATCATGCATCACCATATGCCAATCTAACAATTTTAAATATTCTCCAATGTTCTAGGTCATAAGTGCTACGGGAACACACCATTCCTTTTCTCGTTGCATAGATTTTATTGTAACACGTATATATTTTTGTAGGCTCTACATTCTCACTTTTATACTATCACCTTAAAAGTTATGTTAAGAACTCCATATGTGCAGCATGTACTTACATATGCAACAGTAAGTAAACCGTGTATGTTACAAGAATTATAAAAAATTTAAAAAAATCTTAGCCTATGACAAATTTTAAGGGAATTTAAATAATGTTCTCAATAGTCAAGATATGTAACTATTAATTTTTGAGTTAGTTTTTTTTAAAACTATTTTTGGCCCCTCTCTTGGTTTTGTTTTTGTTTTAAATTTTATATAGTGCTCCTTTAAGAGTATCCTCGTAATTGGTCAGCCAGAAGCTCAGGCCTGTTAAATTTTAGACTTTTGATTCTAGCCAGGTTATTTTTTAGGTCCTTGGAATTGCTGATGACCAGTGTGGCAAAGCACTAATGGTAATTAACCTTATTGTTCAATGAATGTATTTCACAACCGGTGTACTCCCATTTATAAAAATGCGTGCGTACAACATTGCAAAGTGCAGGAAGTTCTCCTGGCCTTAACAATGAAGTTGAACAGCTCACAGTAGTTTCCAGAATTTGCTTTATTGAATAGGTTATCAGTGACAGACATCATGCTGTTGACAATTGTGTTTTTAAATTAACAGCAACAGCTATACCATTTTACATACATAGCTACTGGATGCAATAACTAATCACTAATCAAGTCCCAATTCACCACTTTCTGGATGGTTTTATTAATAATAGAGCATTGGCCCATAAAAACACTGTCATCAGTATAGTGTAATAGAAGCAGAATTTAATAGAATTGTTGTTTAAACTAAAAATAACCCTTAAAAATGATTTAGCAGCAAGAAAAAGAAAAGATAAAATATTTTATTACAAATGTTGAGTGGAATACGTTAAGTAGTGTGTGTGTGTGTGTGTGTGTGTGTGTATATATATATATATATATATATATATAATAGCTTGTAAAAAAACAATGTACCACTGCAAGTGAAAGAGAGTATCTACTGTTCTCCGGTACAGGAAAGGCCAAGAGGCTGGAGTAGGGAGATGTGGTAGGTTTACCTGGCACTATAGGGTCTTTGGGTCCCCCCCACCCTCAGGGTCCCACTCCCGCCGTGATGAAAGGGGTTAAATTCTTACCTTTCTCCAGCGCCGGGCTACTCTCCTCCCTCTTCTGACGTCATCCGCCGAATGCGCATGCGTGGCAATAGCTGCATGCGCATTCAATCAGTTCATAGGAAAGCATTTCTCAATGCTTTCCTATGGACGTTGGGGGTCTTCTCACTGTGAAAATCACACTGAGAAGCGCGGAAACGCCTCTAGCGGCTGTCAATGAGACAGCCACTAGAGGCTGGATTAACCCTAATGTAAACATAGCAGTTTCTCTGAAACTGCTATGTTTACAGCTGCAGGGTTAACCCTAGATGGACCTGGCACCTGGACCACTTCATTGAGCTGAAGTGGTCTGGGTGCCTATAGTGGTCCTTTAAGCCTGGTAGATGATGGCATTTATTTGGGGGAAGGAGGTTCAGTGATTTATTATTTTTTTTAATTTGTCAGCAAAGTGTTCTTATCATTTGTAACTCAAAATAGCCATCACTTGTCAGGGCACATATACACACACACACACACCTACCAAATGGCCATCTGTGATCAATGAAACCCCTCAAGGACCAAACTTCTGGAATAAAAAGGAATCATGACATGTCACACATGTCATGTGTCCTTAAGGGGTTAAATAAAGATTCTACAGTAATTATAGATGGGCTGCTCACTAAGAAGTGAAGCAAAAATGAAAGCTAAAATTGGACAAATTATTGAAAAAAAAAATACATTTGGGTGTTTCTTTCCCTTCAGTAATGCAATTTAGAACAAAGTCTTGTAAGATCATATCACTGCATTTCCCTGCTTAGGGGATAAACCTTGTAGGATTTAAGGTGGGATCCAAGCTACAACTTCAAAAGGCTAATTGTAACTATATTCACTTTGAAAGCATTATTAAAGGATCTGTGAGTAGCTGTAAATGTAGAAGAGCTGAAGAAAACGCTAGTGAACTGAAGAGCCCAGTCCTTTTAAAGTCTCGGTAGGGATTACTGGAGGTAGATGGCAAAAGTAGTTACTTCATTTGAAGAGGAACTAAGGCAGAGGTAAATAAGCCAGTGAAACAGGTGTTATAATTTCCTTCTGAAAGCAGGACAGCTGTTAAGTTCTTGTAGCAAATAGATAAGTTCTAATAAGTCACTCTTGGGAGCATTTAAAGAATTGAATGAAACGCAGGTATTAAAATAGCTGCTTGTATCTAGTCCATGTTAATGCAACATGTGAAAAAACAATGAGAATAATGCCTGTATTGAACAGTATCAAATAGATGTAGTTTGTTGTAGCAATAATAAAGCAACAAGCTCTAGAATCAATTATTAATTTCTGAGCAGAGTGCTTTAACTCCATGATTACGGGAATGGAGCTATAAATAATGAGCGCCATCTTTGTGCCCGTCCCACAAGGCCTGCTCTTCTACCCAGGTGCCCCGTTTTTATAGTGCTTTGGAATATGGTTTGTATGTGTAAATTGTATTACTCTACTGTACAATAACACATCACAATAAAATGCAGGGTTTATAATTGTATCACAGTAATACGCAGTTTATATGAGGGTATCACAGAGCTTCTAGTAATAACACTATCAAATCACTTGTAAAACACTATTTAAAATGTATTTCATATGTTTATCATTAAATTTGTATAAATAAGATAATTTCTTTCTAAGTTCTATTTCACCGATTCGAGTAAATCCAAATTAAAAGATTATGGTGATCGGTTTAGTGATAATGCAGTAACTACCCATTATGTATGCTTGTTTTATATTGTAATAAAACAAGACATTTCTATAAACAATAGTCCCCACCCCATCCATTTTGTGGAAGAGATTTTGCATTGCCAGACAGAAGAGAAATCCTGCTTTAGCTCTTTGTACTTCACTATGTTTTATACATCAAATCCTGAATCGGCTTTTGATTTATTTTTATTAAGCTTTTGAAATCTATAATTATTCGTTTTATTGCATTTAGTCGGCAAGGTGCCTTTAATTAGACTCCTTCTCTGTTGTCTGCTACCCACCCAGAATCACGTTTACACTGTAATCGCATCAAGCTAGCATTATTTTCTAGACAGAAGAACCTCTGATAAAATTCTGTCACTTTCAGAACTCCCATGATTGTCCCACCATTTGCAACAGACGGGGTTAATCGAGATGGGAAAAAAACTCTCCCAGGATGCATTTTTCGTTTTTGTTATTCTGATCTCAAGTTTGAGTTTCATTCTGAATGTGCTATAATTCTATTTAGTGAACGCCCCTCAATGCAAGAAGTCTGGGAATGGATGACAGTCACGCAGGGGCAGAGACTGCGGACACACCTTATGCTGCATGTCTGTATCTCAGAATTTGCTTTCCTTTCAGTCTTTATGGTCACAGAGAACAAAACGCCTGAAAACAAGCAAAAAAAATAAAATAAAAGCCCTGTACTATTGTTTTCTAGATTGTCTGTCTTTGCCTCTGTACTGCATGCTTCATATGGATATTCCAAATCAAATCAGAGCATTAGGCTTCCTGAATGCAGAGTTCTAAGTTCAACTCGTGTTACATGATTGGTGTGATGTAATACAGTGGAACATGTGCCAAAGGTCACGAGAAAAAGGGAATGGGGGCCTTAGTTAATATGCACAACAAAGAAGCAATTAAAGCTATTTTTGTAAATTGCATTTCAGTTGCATAAATTATTAATGGTTAGTCAGCTAAGATTTCTTAGCCAGCCTTCCAGTGGAAACATTCCCACTCACACCCCTTAAAGTAAAGTGTCCTTCTGTCTGTTTAGAATGTTGGGAGTTATGTGTAATGTGTGTATAAGGCCTAGCTCGGGGCTCTCTTTGTGGGCAATCTGGTGGAAGTAAGGCAGGCGAGGAGTGGCGCCTGAGAAGTCACACTATTCTTTTTTTTTTTTTTTTTTTAAACTCTTTATTTTTCATAGAAAAAGGAAGTGCATAGGTGTGCCAGTGACTGGGCTTACGCAGAAGCCGCGAGAGTGATGCATATGTGAATGATAATATGTAGGCTTACGCAGAAGCCACCAGAAAAGTGCATAAATGTGTGACAATGGATAGGCTTACGCAGAAGCCGCGAAAGAAGTGCGTACTTATGCTAGTACATTGGCTTACGTAGAAGCCGCATTGCATTTTCATATGGTTCCATTACACATTGGCGAGGGTGATTATGTCAAGGCAAGAGTTACGATCACTGTCGCCCCTGGTCTCATCGGCGGTTAATTCGTCATCTCTCGGTATGCTGAGATAACTCTGCATGGTTTGTCAGTGAGGTCTTGCCTTGAATGCCTATGTCACTGCAATTAGTATGGTTTTGGAAGTCACACTATTCTTAAACGATTTGACTGCCTACGATTGGGGGGGTGAGGGGGGGGGGGGGGTTGAGCCACTGCTGGCACTATAACTATAACAGTGCAATGTATTGCTTATGGAGCTTGGTGTTCCTTTTAGGGATAACTATGAATAAAAGTACTAACATAAACACCGACTTACATGCTATACATTCATTTTTATTTGTAAACTTATCGTGGCTGTATGAGCCCATTCAGCCACCTATAGTGTGGGATAGGATAGTATAGTAGAGCTGAGCTATTGCAGTGCAAAGGAAATGCTGAGTGATGGGGGAAAACACGAGGAGGTAGGCATATGGAGAAGTATTAAGGGAGGATTCCTTGCTCTATAGCCAATGCAAAGAAACATAGGTTATTATGGTGCTTGGATTGTCTGACACAACATGAGAAGTGTATCACTTCTCCGCAGTATACTAAGCATTGTTGGAAAAGTAACTTTTTTTTTCTGTAAATTAAGTTGTTTCTGATACATAGCAAAGGCTTCTTGTAAAATTGGTCTGTTTTCTCACTCCTAGCTTCAATAAAGGGTTATCTCTAAAATTGTTGTTTTACATTTAAAGGAACAATGTAGTCACCTAAACAAATTTAGCTTAATGAAGCAGTTTTAGTGTGTAGATCATGAGGCTCAGGATTTACTGCTCTATTCACTGCGATTTAGGAGTTAAATCCCTTTGTTTCTATTAATGCAGCCCTTGTCACAACTCCCCTGACTCTGATTGACACAGACTGCATGACAAAAAAAAACTGGTTTCACTTTCAATCAGAGAGATACAAATGTAGTTAAATTGCATCTCTCTCTCTCTCTCTCTCTCTGTAAATTGAACTTTAATCACATACAGGAGGCTCTTGCAGGGTCTAGCAAGCTATTAACAAAGCAGTGTATAAGAAAATCTAAATTAAACAGAACTTAATAAAGGAAGTATAAACTTTAGATGACTCGTTACAGGAAGTTTTTAGGAAGGATGTGAAAGTCAAATGCAGAGAGGTGTGACTAGGGTTCATAAACAAATTGATTTAACTCCTAAATGGCAGGGACATGATCTATACACCAAAACAGCTTCATTAAGCTAAAGTTGTTTTGGTGACTATAGTGTCCCTTTAAGAATTACGGTCAGGTTTAAAGGATTTTCTTTACCCATTATACAAGTGTTTCATGCAGAAACCTGTTGGATCTACTCTAATAACATCATTTTTTTTTTTTTTTCTGTTGCAGTGAGATATGGTGAAGGCTTATACGATTCCTATATGAGACTTGACCAAGCCACAGCACAGGATGCTGCAGTGGACAAAGAGAGCCCCTCTGCACTGCCTTCTATCGGGAGACTTACTGTAAGTAGTACAATATGCCTTGCGACTGTTGTCCTTTTATCATCTCTAAATTTAAAAAATAAATAAATAAAATTTGTTAGCATGCTCTGTCTGTCTATCCATCTATCTATTGTGTGTAATTGTCTTATGAATGGAGTACGTTTGAGGTTCTGCATACTAATGCATACTAATATAACATTAAAGGACCACTATAGTGCCAGGAAAACATATTCGTTTTCCTGGCACTATAGTGCCCTGAGGGTGCCCCCACCCTCAGGGTCCTCCTCCCGCCGGGCTCTAAGGGGTGGAAGGGGTTAAACTTACCTCTTTCTCCAGCGCCGGGCAGGGGACTCTCCTCCTCGGCTGAATGCGCATGCGCGGTGCGAGCCGCGCGCGCATTCATCCAGTCCATAGGAAAGCATTCACGATGCTTTCCTATAGACGCTGGCGTCTTCTCATTGTGAAAATCACAGTGAGAAGCACAAAAGCGCCTCTAGCGGCTGTCAATGAGACAGCCACTAGAGGCTGGATTAACCCATATATAAACATAGCAGTTTCTTTGAAACTGCTATTTTTATAGAAAAACATAGCTGGACCTGGCACCCAGACCACTTCATTAAGCTGAAGTGGCCTGCGTGCCTCTAGTGGTCCTTTAAACATGCACACTGTTTATTTTCTTGAGAAATGCTGCTTTGTTTAGACAACATTTTGGTGTATCTAGTCTTGGGATTACTTGAATATTTTCAAAGCGTGAGGTTTTGCATGATTCTAATACGGAAGTTTTTCTTGGTCCTGTGTGCAAGATTAATACCTACGAGGATATATATATAGATATACATGAGACTGAATTCTGGTAGAAGTATTTATTTTGCCTTCCTTGTCAAGTAAAATGTTTTCTCTTGATCTGTTGCTAATGAAGTAAACAGCATTGCTAGCCATTTCATAGGTCATTAGCAAAACAAAGAGACAGATCATTTAACAGACACCACAATATGTGTGTTACTATGGAGAGTTTGTGTCCTGACTGTATAGTTTATGCCAGAAGCCACCATAGAATGAAAGCTTGCGTATGTTGCTCATGCCAAGGCAACATTTTGTATTTTTGTCTCTTCAGCCCTTTTATTTCAATACATTCCCTTCAGGGTTAACTGTGTGGTATTGTGTAAAAACAAACCTTGGTTCAGAGTGTTTTTATACAGTACACATACTCAGTGGTACGTGCTCAGAATTTATGTAAGTCCTGCGATTTGTATTCAACTGTTTTTGGCAGGCATTATAATAAATGTTTACAAATAAGGGCCTTTTATTCTACAGAGCATTGTTATTGTGAATCCGTTAATACAGCAAAAAAACAATGGTCATAATGTTGGCTTTTTTTTGTTAGCATAGCAGTAAGATGCATTTAAAATAGGTTATATCATTCTTCCTTCCTTTAATGATTAGAACAGAACTGACTTACGTGTAACTGACCTTTGCATTCTTATTGAATGAGCATTTTGTAAGTTGTTTTTTTCCAGAAATGTTTTTGCTAAACCCAGAATCCTAATGAAATGTTCTGAGCTTTTAAACCAGGGGTGCCCAAAATGTAGATACCCAGATATTGTAGAACTTCGACTCCCATGGTGCTTTTGCATGCCTTTAGACTGACAAAGCATCAAGGAAGCTTTAATTTTAAAACATCTAGGGATCTACATTTTAGGCATCCCTATTTTAAACCATTAAGAAAAAATGCAAGCTTTAGTGTTAATGTTCAGATTTTGTAATAGCCTTTTTTTGTAATGGGTTTGAAAAATGTGCTTTTTTTTCAATAACAATACAATTCTTAAAGAAACACTACAGTCACCAGAACCACTACAGCTTAATGTGCAGCACCTACATTCAGTGTCTCCCCACTCTGCATGGAGGTGCTGAACGTTCCCCATAGAGTTGCATTGATTTAATGAATATCTAAGGATGATGCTGATTGGTGCAGTATTTTGCCGCGCATGTTCAATAGCATCCAAATGCTTATTAGCATTGGATTGGCTGAGATCATCAAGATTGGTAATTTAGGCTATGTAAGTGGACAATCTGCTGTGGAATTGGGGTGGCAGGCAGCAGATAGAACTACATGGGGATAGAGACAGGACGAGGAGGGAATGGACTGACAAATCCCGACCTGGCACACAGGATTTATATAGATGCACTGGTTTTGCATCGTTTCCTAAATTGTGTACCAAACAGTTGTATACTGCAAACACAGATTAAAAGGAATCCATGTTTAAAACTGAATGAGGCAAAAATGTGATTCTGTTAAACTAATTTGCATATCCCCACCCAGAATCATTTGCGGTTGTAACATCACTGCAGATTTGGGATTTCTGTGGGAAAAGTAAGTCTTATGGCTTAACTGGCATGCAGATTTTTGTTGAACATTGTATTAACTATCCACAGACATCAGGTGGAAGGGGTTTTCAATCACAATGTTTCGCCAACATAACCTGTTTGGATATATATATATATATATCCATTTTTATTTTTATTTTTTTTGAGCCAGCCCAACTTCAGTGGGTAAATTGAAAACACTCTGCACACATTTCAGAGATATGTGATGTTTACAGACCAATGTGGCCTTTATATCAGCTTTACTTGAAACATGTTCTATGGTATTTCTCTGCTGTCCATCACTGTCCTATGTCTCACACTTTAGTTCGCATCTCTTGGCACAGAGAACCGCATTGGTGCAAATCCATGCATGAGATGTGTTTTTAATTCCTCTGCTGCCAGTGCGGACAGTGCCGCTCTAACTTAAGATGTCTTAGATGTCTTGCCAATCTGCCTTTTTAAACTGTAGTCTCTCACATTTACCTTGCTATTTCCAACACTACTCAGTAAATCCCATCCTTATCATATGCACCATATCCCCACCCCTTTGTTGTCTTTCTCAATCTTGTCCATCTTCACCTCCCTTTCCTACTGCAATCATACAGGGATCCCAATTAAGCTGTCCAACTATTTGATCACTGTGCTGTGTGCATACATATTCATAGTACTGCTACTGCTAGGAGACTACATTGATGGCTCAGCAGGGAAATTATATTTCCCTGTGATGTCCATGGGAAGGGGTGGATCCAAATCAATGGAAAAGATTAAAGATGAAGATAGTAATCACTGTAATGACTTAAAGGAAAAATTTCAGGTAATTTCGTAGCACCAATACCATAATCCTTTAGTGATGATGGTCCTTAGGATTGGTTACCCATTATAGCATAGTTGGGAATAGGACTGCAACTTTCAAATGTCCAAAAATGATCTATGCAGCATGACGTACAGAATAAGCCTTACTGTAAGTAAGTCAAGCTGCCTGCTTAAATGCATGCATTTTTCATTGTACCAGGCGTGTGGAAAGTAAAAAAAAAATAAAAAAATCTACTTGTCCATGGGAATAAAGTGGACGGTAACCAAAACCACTTGTTTTGACTATTTATTAATGCATGGTTAGTCCAACGGGGGTTAAAATTCCATAGTGGTTCAGCATGGGTGAAAACTAATTAGTGGTTTAGTGAGGGGGCCTGGAGCTGCCTGAGGGCGCTTTACTTTGCATGTGTCTACTAAAGATATATTTTTTTTAATTTAAAAAGGGTATGAAGAACAGTAGGACTGGGCGGACAGCAGGATACACAGCAGGGAGCACATTGCAGTTGCTTCTGCTTCTGAGCCTCATGCTGCCCCCCAGCCTACAGGAGGAGGAGAACAATCCAGGCGGGAGGTACATCACCGGCTTAAGAGAAATGCTGGAAATACTGTGGTATGTACATCCACGGGGTGCAGACCACAGTAATCACTATTTCGCGCTCCAGCACTCATTAGTAATTTCTGGACTGAGAGGGAGCCATTAAGGTGGTCTGCACCACTGCAGGTAGAAACCACACTCTCTCTGGCCCAGCCATGTGCCCCTGTATCAACACGAACTAAAGGGGGAGGGTCTTTCTGTCCTGCCTTAGGGACAGGCAAAATAAATTCTGCTTGCCTTTTGCATGTTATCAGGATTTACTTTACTAAATGACAGTTCTTCCTAAATCAAACAGACCGCTATGTGTTTATTACCAGCATTCGTTTTTGCGATTGGTTTCTTTGAAATGGCTGTTCTGTAAATGAAAAAGGAAATTCCCTGTGACTCCTACAATGAGCATAATTCAGCAGTCTTGCCTGGTTTCACTTCCTCTTAACCCTGTAGTGTGTGTTACTCACCATAAATCCGTCATGCTGTATGGATCTACAGCTTTTTTTTTTTTTTTTTTGTCTTCGGCAGAATATCCTCACGTAACCCCTGAGGTGAACAGCTGTGGATAACAAAACATAAAAAAAGAATAGATGATCATATTTGTGAACTTCCACAAATATTGAAGCATTGCAAAATGTTAATAATGATCTACTTTGCAACTATCCAGATTTCCTCAAAAAAAGTAAACTTTAAATGTGTTCTTAAGAATTTGTAAGATTCTATTTAATGAGATTTTTAAGTGCAACATCTGTTGTTTTAATGTATTTTGTAGGATGCATTTAAAGGGGCACTATAGTCTCCAGAACAACTACAGATACAGCAAATATCACAGCTTAATGTAGTTGTTCAGAGAAAAGGCCGTGTTAACATTACTGCCTACAGACACCTCCAGTTGCAGTCACTCAGACGGACACTAGAGGTGCTTCCTGGGTCAGTGCTGCACAAAATGCAGCACTGTCGTTCAGTGTCTTGACTCTCTGTGATTCAATGCATCTTTATGAGGAGATGCTGATTGGCCAGGGTGGAGTTCGGCTCCGCTCTCACACCGCCTCTTTGGCTGAGATCTTCAAAATTGACGATTGTCAATTCTGATGATCTCAACCAAGGAGGCAGATCGGGGCAGGGCCAGCACTGGCGGTATAGTGCGGGCCTACAATAAAAGTAAGTAAACAACTTATATGGGGGGAAGAGGGTGGGGCTGGGGACCCAAATAGTGTTGTGGTGTCAGGAATTTGTTCACAGTGGAAAGTATTTCTTGGGCATACAATAGATAGGATGGAATATGTAAAAACCTTTCAGTTCTCACGAGTGCTGCTTGCTTACAGGTATGTGTAAGGAATTTGAGTCTGTTTTGAAAGACTGAGAAATTGGCTTCTTAATTTTACAGGTATTTGTGTTTGTAAGTATTGCAGCTCACTTAGTACTTGTGATTTGTGCTTATAGTATTTTTTTCCTTGCTGTCAATTTCTAGTTTGCACTATACTATAATAGCAAGTATTGCAGATTTCTGTACAGATTGGATAGAGGGGGAGGGGGAGCTTTGGGTGTTATGCAAAGGGTCAATTTACAGTAGCAGAGAAGATTAACTTTGTTTGGCTGCAGGGTGAGACTCCTGGTGGGATCAGTTGGGAAATGTGGCTATTTATATATTGTATTGCAAAACAAAACCTGTCCATGTATACAAAGGGTTAGGGGTAGGACGCATACTTCTAATTCATGTATTCAAAAGTAAACATAAGTTTAAACGTGTGCATAAACACACATTTTTTGTTTATTCTTTTGAGAATTTGTGTTCCATATATATTCTATAAATAAAATATAAAATTTCTCAAGTCTATAAAGGCTAACTTGCCAATGTCTGAGCCCTATATATCTCTCTCTCGGTATACATTCGTATAGGTTTATAATATTATATAATTGTATATATACAGGCCTCCAAACAGTCTAACTATTGATGGACAGGCCCCCGAAATTGCTTTAGTTGCCTGGTGTCCCGCCTCTGTGGTCACTAGGATAATGCAGGGCCAGTTCAGTACCCCCGGGGTCACTTGATTCCCCAGTCCTGATTGTTGGAAGAAATGTATTTATTATAAAAACTGTTGTGTTTGTTTATATGTATAGAGCGAAATATAGGTCTCAAAACCAATGGCAAGTAGAAATATAGACTTAAGGTATGCGCCTTCATGACTGCACGTTAAAGTGTACCTGTCATAGTACACACAAAGTAGGCTCATTAAAAAAAAATTTTTTTTTCTTTACTTCATCTATACTCTGTGCGAGCAGAGATGCTGGGAAATGTATAGAATGTAATTTAAGGTCCTTTCAAATGTTGGTCCCTCCTTAGCAGCCAATCAAATCCTCAGCCAACCCTGTCTGCCTCTTGCTGGGGTTGTATGGGATGTGCATGCTGGCATCAGCATGAAGGATGGCCCTGCTTGGGAAAGTGCCTCTAGGTAGGACCAAACATAGCAGGCAGGGGGCAGCAATGGAGAGTGGGTTTTAGAATGGTGGTACTTGCTTAAGGGGCTACAAGAAAGTAATATTTTAACTAGTCACAAAGCAGCTAAATAAACCAGTCATTTATCACTACATTTAGTGCCCTGGGAGCTGTCATTGCTTTAGGTGAACATACAGTGACAGATTCACTTAAAACCAGAGAATTGAGCAGCTGTATGAGATCAGAATAGCTCTGGGCCCTTAAGCCCCACTGTCTCGTTTCTTTTTCTCTTGTCCACTAGTAGACAGTTGCTTTGCCAACTCTAATGGGAATTCATTTTTTTCTGCTCATAAATTCGTAACATTGCAAGGAATAACCAGACAAAGAAATATTGAGTTATTTACTAAAGTGAGAATAAAAAGTGAATTCAAAGTTGAAGGGACACTCAACTACCCAGATACAAAATAAATACAAATCACTGTTTAGTAAATATACCTCAGTGAAAAAATAAATGCAGAATCAAATGCATGTGAGTGTTAATTTGGCATATATCTAAAAACAGATTGCAAAACTGGCAGTTGTCTTGTCTGCAGTCTTTGCAATCCCTCCCTTTCTAATCCCACCCAGACTTTCTGTGGCTGTCCAATCACAGACATTACAATGCAGCTCAATGAGAAGTCTTTGCAAGGCAGGTGCTCTGAGTATTTGCTGAGGTAACCAAACCAGGAACTAACAGGCCCTGTTGTCTACTTAAAAGCCAAGGGGGTGTAACCAGGTTAATTTATAAAACTGTAAATTTCTGTGAAATCTGTAATTTTTGCAAAATTAAATAAAGAAGACACTCTCTTCACACATAAGGCTTTTCAGCAAGTGCTTCAGGGGTCTGGAGTGTTCCATTATTAAAAAAAAGTAAAAAAAAAAAAAAAAAAAAACAGGTCAGAGTAAATAACCCCTATGTTAAGGCTAAACTTGAGTTTATTTTTTCTTTCTTTTCTTCTATTTATCTAGCAGTTTAAAACTCTGCAGACAGTGTTTGCATCTGTTTGTTATCCACTAGCGCTAACCCAACATAGGCATCATTCATGGACACTGTAGGCACCCAGACCTCTTCAGCTCATCAGCTTAGCTTCGCCTCATCTGGGTAGGGTCCCTATTGCCCTTATTGCTGCAATGTTAAACATTGCAGATCCAGAGAAACTGTAATGTTCACATTGCATCACTAAGTCTGGCTCTAGTGGCTATCTCCCAGACAGCCACAGGGGGCGCTTCATGGATCAAAAAGTACCTTTGGTCCATCCAGCATCAGATTTTTTTTTCCCATAGGAAAGCATTGATTCATTGCTTTCCTATGAGATGGTCTAATGCGAGCGCTGCATTCGCCGAGCGTGCGCATTAGCGCTCCATAGTCGCTAGACGCCGGAGGGGGCGGAGCGTCGACCCAGCGCTGAGGGACATCAGCGTTGCAATCAGGTAACTAAAAAGCTTTGCATTCCTGGCACTTTGCCAGCCTAACTGATTTATAGGGGAAAAAAGATCATAAATAAGTTCCCCTCTGCATTTCATTATACATGTAGATGTTAAAGGGACAATATAGTCACCAGAACAACTACAGCTTAATGTAGTTGTTCTGGTGAGTATAATGATTATATGTAGGCATTTTCATGCAAACACTGCCTTTTCAGAGAAGATGGCCACTGGAGATGCTTCCTGGCTCAGTGCTGCATAGTAGGCAGCACTGCCGTTTAGTGTTTCCACGCTCTGCATGAGGACGCTGAATTTACCTCAGAGAGATGCATTGATTCAGTGCATCTCTATGATTAGGTGCTGATTAGCCAAAATGGTGTTTGGCCCCGCCACATCTCGTCTCCTTGCTGATTTCAGACAATCCAATGCTTTCGTTGTGGGAAAACATTGGATTGGCTACAAATAGGCAATTCTGAAGATTTCATCAAGGGGGCAGGGCCAGCGCCCGTGGACCCGTGCGGTGCTGAAAATAAGGTGCGTTTTATTACTTTTTGAGGCGAGCCATCTAAATGATGGGTTTAGCAATATAGGTTCAGGAATACATGTTTGTGTTCCTGACCCTGTAGTGTTCCTTTAATTGACACATCACATTGGAATGAACAATGTATGAGTTAGCTAACTGAAGTCGTGTACTACAAAATATATATATATTTTTTTTTATACACATTCAGGGTTTACTAAAGTGAGAATAGTCAGAAATTCAAAGTGAACTTACATTTTAGACCACAGTATCTGAACTGGAGATCAAATAACCTGGAGAATTTGCCAATTCAACTATGCAGGCATTCAATTTCAAATTAATTTTGAATTCCCAATTCTTTGATTCTGGCAAATTATGTCAAAATTATAGTTTAAAAAAAATAAATAAAACAATCCTTTTCTATTTTCATACATCAAGATTGTGTCCAGCTTGTAAAATGTAAATTGAGTAGATGATAAAAGTGCAGATTTGGTTCAGTGTTATTGATACCAACCCTCGTCTTATTGTACACACCATGGCTCACAGTTTTTGTGAAGCTGACAGCCAGCTATAACTGTCTTTCCCTTCAAGATATTCCAGGAATTATTTCTTAATGTTTACTCCCTGTCAGTCTTAAATGCTGGCTGGGAAAGAGTCTTCCCGACAAAATATATTGCCAAATCTGTTAGCAGTGTGTTTTTTATACCTTCTTTAACAAGCACCCTGTTCTGGAAAGCATTCCCGATCTTGTCCCTAAGCCACTTGTGTCCTGTAACTAAGTCAGTTGTGTTGCCTAGATTGTCCCTATTTCCCTGCAGTGATGCAATAAGTGTTCTTGCCTTCCTGGCAAAAGTGTATGTGATCGAAGGCACTATTCTCCTATATCCTTCATTGCTAGAAATACAGCTATGATGAGCAGACGTGGATATTTGCTGATCGCCAGTAAGTGATGATTTGTTTCTCCTGTAAGTACTTTGATTTATAGATGAATGCTGATTACTGAAAAATAATGAAAGGATTTGCTGTTTTCCCTAGAAAATTGGCAGATATCGCCACATCATATATTTCAGAAATATATTTTTAACTAGTTAACTGTGAAAGTACAGGTGCCTCAATACCATTGTTTTATTCAACATGACTCATCGTGCAGAATTTCACACACCTTATCTTATATGTTTGCTGTATCATAGCAACAAAGTAAGTGGTTTGCTCCTAATGCGTATAAAGAACAGCTTGCTATCAAATATTCTGGATCTTATATTACAGTGTGTTGTGTGGGAGAACCTCCTGCCAAGTCGATCACTGAACTTTTCTACTGTGGAGTGTCCAACCCTGCTATTTTAACTGACAGGGCCCAGCATCCACCCCTGACTACCTGTGTGCTTTCTTTGTTTCCTGCTGATAAGAATCTCTTGTAATTTAAGCATCCCCAAGTACCTGCTGGTATTCGCAACTAACCAAACTCTTTCTAAGACATCGCCATCAAGAATTCATTCGAGTTCAGAGTTCTTAATGGTACTTTCGAGAACATGCAACAATTGATATTATTACAAAGTCTGCTAAATCTTTATTTTCTGTATACAAATGTGAAGGCTTGGCCTGCAGTTGCGGGAGGGGCATGTTAACCTACTTAAACCCCCTCCTCACCTTCCTCAGTCCCGTTCGTTTTTTGGCGATTCGCATGTCCCCATCCTCCACTTCCTTTATTTATACTTTTCATTACATCTCATTGATGGGCCCTCTTTTATTACAGGCCTACCACGACGTCGGTTCCGGCACACCACAACCGACTTATTCCCTGCCCCCCCCCTCCCCCCCCCTTCTTATTTCTTTTACGGCCTTATTTGCCCCTCACACAACTATTTTTTGTTTATTTGTTGTTACTGTATGTGATATTTTAATTTATTTGCTGTCGCTGTGACGCAAACACATGACACAGGTTTGCCTTGGTAAAATTACACTTGCAATATAATGTGCCATTACAGTTTGAAAAAGGTAACCAGTTTACCAAACCTTAAAAAAAACTTTAGTGAGCTGTTATTTAAAAGTTTTTAGTTTTTTTTCCTTCTGGTGAGCATGTCCTTCTGTACAGGCAAGGCCATCACTATGCTTAGACTTTCTGACCTTTGGTCCTTGTATTCCAAGATTAGTATTTCCAAAGTGGATTGGTTTGCTGATTCTTAAATGGACACTATAGTCACCAAAACAACTTTAGCTTAATGAAGTAGTTTTGGTGTATAGAACATGCCCCTGCAGTCTCACTGCTCAATTCTCTGCCATTTAGGAGTTAAATCAAATTGTTTATGCAGCCCTAGTCACACCTCCCTGCATGTGACTTGCACAGCTTTCCTTAACACTTCATGTACAGACTCCTCTAATGTTTCTACTTCCTATATTGCAGATTCTGTTTAATTTATAATTTCTTATATCCTGCTGTGTTAATGCTAAACCTTGCAGGAGTTCAATTTACAGAGCAGGAGATAAAAACATTTAAAGTAAGTTACATCTCATTGAATGTAAAAACATTTTTCATGCAGGCTGTCAGTCACAACCAGTGGAGGTGTGGCTTGGGCTGCATAAACAGAAACAAAAGTGATTTAACTCCTAAATGGCAGAGAATTGAACAGTGAAACTTCAGGGACATCATCTATACACAAAAATTAAATAACGATCCCCTAGGTTCTGACCCCCATGTTCGGAAACGTGAAGCTTTTGTCATCTCTTGTTGTTGATTATTTAATCATTTTTTTTCCTACTCCGTTCTCAACCATTCGTGACATATCCCTCTCCTCAATTTCTCACACTTTCCTCTATTCTCCTATCATACACCCTGAACTTTACCTCCCAGCTGTCGTGTCCACCTGCCTTTCTCCCCCTCCCCCCTCTTTTTTTTTTTTTTTGCAACTACTTAGTTTCCCCACTCTGTCTCATTCTTCTTGCTCACTGTTCCTGTTCATTTTTCTGTTTTGATAAAGTGAGACTATGCTTTGGTATACCGTATTAGTCAGATGGCCCTTTGCCATTAAAAGTTCTTCTCTCCTGATGCCTCGTTTAATAAGTCACGTTTGTGGATCTGTGTTTCTCTGAGAAGCTTTGAAATCTCAGCCTCACATTGACTTAAAAGGGATGATGCATGAAGCTTACGCACAGTCCATTCTGGCAGGAACATTCATTCATGAATCATATCCCTGCTTACAGTCGGCCTGTGCACACCAGCGGGCTCCTGTATCCAGGCAGGAAATCTTTGTAAATTAGCAATGTCCTGCCATGCTCCACCCCAGCCTGGTTTATTTATACATTGGCTCTTTTTAGCTAGCTGCTATTCCTTGTTCCTGTTGAGGTTTTTTTACATAGTCAGCATTTCAAGTTTGCCACCACTTGCTATAATGGGAAGCAGATGTCATTGCTTGAGTATTTGCAGCGCCCATCTAACAAGTGTTTACATCCAGTATGTAACCAAAGGATTCTCATTTCAAATTGCTGGGAGAATGAAAGATATTAATAGCATCTTTTTATTGGATGATTTTATTAGCGTCTATTCATCCAAATATAACAGTGTAGATTAGCAAGTATGAATACATGAAATGAGATGTCTGCATTCAATGGGGCCAATATTTAGAGACTCATATTGGTAATCTGCAGCTTGTACTAAGCAATCCTAAGAAAACCGTGCATATATATCAGTTACGGATTCTGCAGCAAGATTCTTCTCACTAGTTTAACGGAACACTGTAGCATTAGGAATACAAACCTATATTCTTAACGCAAGGGTCTCCTAGTGACAGATTACTTTTAGGTCCTGTTTGTGTAACATGCTAAACAAACCAACAAAAACGGATTTAATTAAGGACCTAATGCACATGTACACACATCCAATAATGCTTCACATAGGAAATAATTGAACTCCGTGCTATCCTATGAGCTGCATTAGTAACACGTCATTTTTGCGGAAGCACCACTAGTGGCTTTCTGAAAGAGTTTTGTTTTAACGCTGCAATGTAAACATTGCTATTTCTACAAAATTGCAGGGTTCGAACACCAGATTGCACTCTGTATTCCTAACTAGTACTAGTAGCCTCCACTCCGTTCAGCATTCAAAGGATTAAAAACTTTTTTACTTACCTTGATTTTCGGTGCTGTTGACCTCTCCTCCCCAGGCAATGTCACAGAGGAGACATGGTCCAACCCAATGCTCATCATATAGGAGGGGACCTATTGGGCATGCGCAATGAGCGCCAAGCACACATACAAATTTTCTTATAGGAAAGCATTGAATCAATGCTTTCTTAAGGGGCAATCACATCACTTGACCAAGTTTTACTTGGTCAGTGCAGGGGAAATGCCTCTAGAGGCAGTCTTTACCTTGCAATATAAAAATTGCAGTTTCTTAAAAAGGGTAATGTTTTACATTGCAGAGTGAAGAGGCAGGGACACTGCATGAAGTGGTCTGAGTGCCAGTAATGTGCCTTTAAAGTAAATATGTCATGCACAGATCATGTGAACAATTATGTCTTTAAAGGGACACTATAGTCACTAGAACTACTACAGCTTAACGCAGTTGTTCTGGTGAGTATAATCATTGCCTTCAGGCATTTTCATGCAAACACTTCCTTTTCCATAAAAATGCAGTGTTTACATTGCCCCCTAGGGACACCTCCAAGTGGCCACTCCTCAGATGGTGAACAATAAGCAGCCCTTCCGTTCAGCGTCTCTGCGCTCTGCATGGGGACGCGGAATTTTCCTCATAGAGAACTATTTCTTCTGTGCATCCCTCGAAGGAGGTGCTCATTAGCTAAAACAGCATTTGCCCCGCCCCATCCCACTTCCTAGCTGATTTAAGCTAATTCCATTTTTTTCCCATGGGGATAGTATTGGATTGGCAAAAAAATCTGCAATTCTGATGATGTCGCCAAGGAGGCAGATCTGGGGCAGGGCCAGCATCAGCGGACCCGCACGGCACCGGAAATAAGATGAGTTTTCACTTTTGCTAAAGTGACCTAAATGGTGGGTTAACCACAATAGGGTCAGGAATACATGTTTGTTTTCCTGACCCTATAGTGTTCCTTTAACTACTGAATGTGCATTTATCTCATCCATTCTGCTAATGACATCATATCTTTATCTGAAATTAGCTCACTGGAGACTTGCTCCATGCATGCAAGTGTGATAAGTGTGATAAGTGTGGCAGTGCAGTAAAGCTCAGGAAGATCAGAGTAACACACAGCTTTTTTTATTTTATCCATTTTTTAAAATTTATTTCCATATACCTCTACTGTTGGAGTAGTACATGCTAAAGTTTTTTTCTAGAACTTTGTCAAAATCATATTTTATTTTTATGTATGTATTCTGTGATGGTGTATGCTGTTGCAGCATCTTGTATAATTCTTTATTACTTAAAATGTTTATTGAAAAATGCGTGAAAATTGGTTCAGTGGGTAATAGCTCAAAAAGCAATCATTAACTTTTATCACAAAGATTCATTATATATTTAATTACTTTAGGATCTGTTAAAGTGGTCTGGGTGCCAGGTCCATCTAGGATTAACCCTGCCTGCTGTAAACATAGCAGTTTCAGAGAAACTGCTATGTTTACATATGGGTTAATCCAGCCTCTAGTGGCTGTCTCATTGACAGCCGCTAGAGCCGCTTCCGCTCTTCTCACTGTGATTTTCACAGTGAGAAGACGTCAGCGTCCATAGGAAAGCATTCAGCTGATGACAACAGAAGGAGGAGGAGAGTCCCCAGCGCCGAGGGAGCCCGGCGCTGGAGAAAGATGAGTATTTAACCCCCTTCCTCCCCCTTCAGCCCGGCGGGAGTAGGAATCTGAGTGTGGGGGCACCCTTAGGGCACTATAGTGCCAGGAAAACAAGTTTGTTTTCCTGGCACTATAGTGGTCCTTTAATATCTTCCTTATCTCTGCACTGTAGCAGTGCTGCCATGCTAGAGGATGTGCTTAGTTTGGACAAAACTTTTAAATACACCTTGCATTCATAACCTTTTGCCCTTAACTGAATAACCCTGCATACTTTTAGAGCATGCTGACAAACTAAAAATGTTCAGTTATTTGTTGTTGTTAATGATTACTTTGATAATTAAAAGAAAACAAAAAACAAAGTGTATTTATATACGTATGTGTGTGTTTTTATGTATATGTGTATATATAATGTTGTGTTTTTTTTCACAATTCTTTCCCGTTTTACATTTCTTAATTACGTTTCTTAATTGTATTCAATATAATTTTCACTATTTATTTTTCTTTTCTCAACAGATAAGTGGAACTAAATTTGCAATGAAGGATCATCAACAAGTCAAAGTTCAGCAGTTGTTTGAAGACTCTGGCAACCGCAGAGTGGGTGCAGGAATTCCTGGGCCTGACAGCACATTCCCTGTGTTGACTAAAGAAAAGTCATCAGACAGCTCATGCACCTCAAAATCCAGTGACAGTTCTACTAAATCCTTAAAGACCACATACCTAAATCCTGAGCAGGCACTGAAGCAATATAAGCACCAACTGTCAACATATGAACAACAAGAAATCCCCACTGTCAGTGAGGTCTATTTTGTGGGTCCAAATGCAAAAAAGAGACAAGGAATTGTTGGGGGCCCAAACAATGGAGGATATGATGATGACCAAGGAGGATACCATTTGGTTCCACATGACCACTTGGCTTACCGATATGAGATGTTAAAGGTCATTGGGAAAGGAAGTTTTGGACAGGTTGCAAAGGTTTATGACCATAAGCTCCACCAGCAGGTAGCCCTGAAAGTGGTCCGTAATGAGAAGAGGTTTCATAGACAAGCAGCAGAGGAAATCAGAATTTTAGAACACCTGAAAAAGCAGGACAAGACCGGTAGCATGAATGTTATACACATGCTGGAGAGCTTTACTTTCCGCAACCATATCTGCATGACTTTTGAGCTCTTGAACATGAATTTGTATGAACTAATTAAGAGGAACAAATTCCATGGTTTCAGTCTGCAGTTGGTTCGCAAGTTTGCCCACTCTATTTTACAATGTTTGGAAGCATTACACAGGAACAAGATCATCCACTGTGACCTAAAGCCTGAAAACATCCTCCTCAAACAGCAAGGTCGTAGTGGAATCAAGGTCATAGACTTTGGGTCGAGTTGCTTTGAGCACCAGAGAGTGTATACCTACATTCAGTCTCGCTTCTACCGAGCTCCTGAGGTTATACTTGGAAGTCGTTATGGAATGCCCATTGATATGTGGAGCTTTGGCTGTATACTTGTTGAGCTCTTGACTGGTTACCCGCTCTTTCCAGGAGAGGATGAAGGAGATCAATTGGCATGCATGATGGAACTTATTGGAGCTCCTCCACCAAAGCTTCTAGAACAAGCCAAGAGAGCCAAGAACTTTGTAAATTCCAAGGGCTATCCACGTTACTGTACAGTTACTACACTTCCAAATGGAACAACAGTCCTAAATGGGAGTAGGTCACGCAGGGGCAAAATGCGTGGTGCTCCTGGCAGCAAAGACTGGGTTATGGCCTTGAAGGGGTGTGAAGACATGCTTTTCATTGACTTCTTAAAAGGTTGTCTAAACTGGGACCCGGCTGCCCGCATGACCCCTAGCCAAGCATTGCGTCACCAATGGATCTGCAAGAGACAACCTAAGCCCCCAGTCATAGATAAGTCCTCAGGGAAAAGGATTGCAAGCCATACCAGCTCCTTTCCAGGCATGGGCTCCAAGCTACCACCAGTTGCAGGTGTAGCAAACAAATTACGAGCCAATTTAATGAACGATTCAAATGGGAGCATACCACTTCGGACAGTCCTACCCAAGCTAGTGAGCTAATCCAGGTCTTGTACCAAGCACAGTCATAAGAATATTTTGATACCCATAACTTAACCACAATGCATTTTAAATTGTATCATTTTAATTTTTTTTTTACTGATTTAAATAAGAAACGAGGAAAAAAATATAGGAATTGGCTCTGTATATAATCTATTTTAAATAATTCATTTTTCAAGGGCTAAGCATTTCAATCACCATCTGGTACAAACTTGATCCTCTCTGTTTTATAGGTCAGTCGGTTTTGTCTTTTAATGAAGTAAAGCAATAATAATCTCTTATGTATGATGAAGGTGTAAATAAATGTTAAGTGATAACTGTTGTTATCACTTCATTTAAAGGAGCACACAAGGTACCAGTCTTACTCCAAAATATGTGCATATTTTTTTTCTATCCTCTGTTGTCACTGGCAAGAGAAGTAAAATTACCTGTGCAAACACTATAAGGAGATTTATCATATAGACCCATCTTCAGTGAACACACTTCAATATTTTTTTTCCTCTCTCAATGATTTTCCCAGGCCTCCCAACACGTCTATTTTTAGTGAAACAACTCTGGTTTTGGGGTCCTGTCCTGCCATCTCACTTCAGTTCCCTGGCATCTATTTGGGACACCATGCAACTGTGGGCTGCATAGTGTGATGGCATCATCAGATCTGTTGCGCTGTTCAGGACCATGCAGGGATCTTCAGTAAGGCTCCCTGCATTGTTCTGAAGGCTGGGGGCAATTTAGACAGGCTGCAAGTGGGTGGTCCGGCCCCTTTACCAGGGGGGACCACCCGTTATGGCTGTCACTGTCACATATCCCAATTCTGCTGGCCAATATGTTGGGCTGTATGCTTGGCCAAGGTGGGTTTTTTAATGCAGGAGTCTGCTAAATTTACCTGATGGCCTGTAATCATTCCCAGAATTTATTGTTAATGAGATTAACTCTAGGCTAAAAGGTGTATATATTTTAACTTTTATCCTATTTTATCCTATGTTAACTTTGCCAGCCTTAAGTCTGGCAAAGCATCATCGGTGTTAGTTTTACAGCAGTTACCTGTCTGCCTCTCCTTCTCTAATACATGTTACAAATCAAGAGAATGCTTTGTTTGTACAGTTCCCTGAGTCTACAACAGAATCTGCATCATACAGCTGGCAGTTCTCACGAACGTTAAGTCTGTCTTGGCTATGATATTCTTATTCAGCATTATCCTCCCTGCTCCCACCTCAGAAAAAAATAAATAAATCGTACTTGATCTTTTATTTACAAGAGAATGGCTGTTCCTTTAATGAAGACATCTATTGTGTATGTTAAATCCAGATGCATTGCCACTTCAAGTTGAAAAGGTTACCTATGTGAAAATTTGCCTTCCAAATTCCTCTTATTTATTAAAAAGAAAATGTATTCATTAAAAGCAGGATTCATTAAAGTGACATCTTCCTGTCTGACATTTGTGATATGTTTGTATAAACACACAATCTGAAAAAGTTATTTTTTATTACCACAGATAGCATAGCTACTGTCTCTTGCATTCATTTTTTTCTAATACAGTGCTTGATTCCCCTCACCCTTTGGATTAGTGCGTTGCTATTTACTCATGGTAGCTTAGCCTTCTTATGCCAGGTGAGCAAGCAAAAATGTTTACTCTTCCAGCATTGAAGGGGTTAAAGAATAAAAATCTTCTTTTGTTTGGCTAAACACCTTCATTCCAGCTGCAGTAATAGAGTCCTTGTTAGCTAGTAAAACAGAGCTCTGCCGGTATATGTGGTGATCAAGCAGTTAAATGGAGGTTTCATTTCTGTGTTGGTAAATTTTGTTTACCTGGGTGCTGCTTCAAGTTTAAGGAATGATTTAGTTGCCAATGGAGCTATTTTATGGATAAAATGCGCTACGTTATATGCATGCATGTGTGTGTTCCTTCGATGCCTGTGTCGATTTGAAATAGTGTATGAATTGATCTTGCTTGTTTTTCTTGTATAAAGGAAATCTGCCCTCGATGAGTAATATGTTCTTTTTAATTATGTTTATGTACTCTCCATCCTCTGTCGCTTACAATGCTCTATCACACAGGCGGCATTTTGAAATGTTGTGGTCTTTTTAAGGTACAAAATAAATGATATCACCACCCCAAAGTCAGGTGTTAAGAACTTGCAGCATTTAGGAGCCAATCCAGCTTGTATAGGAGCCTACCAGAACTGGTTCAGTGCCAGGCAACAGCTGTTTCTGTATAACTCTATTTAAAATTCTTATAAAATTAGGTGTCAGCAGTGATATTTTTATAAACCCTGGCATTTTGGTTCAGATGTTCTATCAAATGTCCCTACCCGTGAAAATCCCCTACCCTCGTCACTTCCGGTGAGGAGAATCAGCTGGATCCTGTGCTGCACATGTGTGCTAGCACTCCTGCTACTCCTCCACAGCAAGGTCCTGGAAGGTAAGTAAAACTAGTTTTACTCTTTCATTATAGTTAGTGCATTCACTAAGCTTAGGACATGGGACATTTAGGGTTAATGTTAGGGTTCAAATTAGGATTAGGGACTTGTTCATATTTAGTGCTCTTTCACATTAGGGGGAATATCACTAAATAGTGAATTCTTGCACTTTATTTTAACCCTTACCATAAGGGTTAGGGTAAGAATAGAGTGTGAGAGAGGTTAGAATCACTTACCTAACCCTAATTTGAACCCTCACTTAACCCTAAATGTTCCGTGTGCCTAAGCTTAGTGAATGCACTAACTATAATGAAAGTGTAAAACTAGTTTTACTTACCTTACAGTACCTTGCTGTGGAGGAGTAGCAGGAGTGCTAGCACGCATGCACAGGATTGAGCTGATTCCCCTCACCGGAAGTGACAAGGGTAGGGGATTTTCACGAGGTAGGGAAATTTGATAGCACACCGGAGTCAGATCAAGGTTTTTCCCTAGGTTCATCAGTTTAGCCAGAGAGGCTGACTCAGCATGGAATATGACTCAGCAGTGGAGTATATGATAAGTAAATGTACTTTGAACAAAAATGGACTGAACCCTGCTATATAATTATTGTGTGACAGCAACACTTTTCCTTAATATAGTAGGTTATTTTTCATTATCTCTAATGCAATCAATTAACCTTTGAACTTTTTATGTGCACCACATAAAACCCAGAAACTAGTCCTGCACTAAAATTCACATTATTTTTGTCCGGCATCAATGGCTATAGTATTCAGCCCCAAAGTAGTCCGTAAATAGTGTTAAGTATATATCACTCTATACTCCCTGCCATTGGCTGATCATTGCTTGTTCGTATTTATTGGTATGCCAAAAGAATTGTTACAAACTGAACAGTTTAGGCCTGTAGAATATGATTCACTTATTGGCAAGCAGTATTACTAATTGTGATTAACACGTCACAAAACTCTGCAATGCATAAGAAGTGATCAACAAATGTAATGTAAATAATGTTGAATAATTTGGACATTCGTACTATATATAGATAAAGATCAGTGGTTCTGAAGCCACACAATTTAGGTTTTGTCATTATTTCCATTGGAGCAGATTTGGGAAAATACTAAATCGTGGCCTATTAATGTGCCTGGTTTGGGAAATACTGATATAGTGCATACCTGTTGTATAAACACACAATGTTATCGCTAAAGACTGAGTGATGATCATTTTCCATAGGTGTTCTTTTGAGAAAACAAAAAACAATAAGACTTGTTTGTTATTATTCTTGATATAGTCTTGTGACTTGCCTATGGCATGGGGTAGGCAACCTTCGGCTCTCTAGATGTTGTAATCTACATCTTCCATAATGTTCTTCTAGCCTTAATGCTGGCAAAGCATAATGGGAGTTGTTGTCCACAACATCGAGAGAGCCAGAGGTTGATTACGAGGGTTACATTAAATGCTGTGAATGGATTCAGGAAAGCTGGAAAAAATATTTGTTGGCTTGACCTATATTTTAATTAGGTGGAGTTATTTAGGCCATGATCTACAAACCTGCAGGGATGTTTTGTTTATTTTGTAGCGGCTCTTTAAAGCAAATGGTTCAATTATCGCATTGATGTTGTGGTCATCATGTACGTTTTATGCGGTCCCTCGAGAACTGCTGCTGTGTGAAGTTTTGTTTCTCTCTGAAAGTTGTTGGGATTAGCTAGTAAGATGGTCACGTGTTTCCAACCCACAGGTGTCCCCTGGGACAATGGAAATGAGATCAGAGAGATAATGAGGGCGCAGGAAATCCCAGATCACAGACTGCATTGACAAAGAGAGCAGGATAAAAACATAATAAAAAACTGAGCCGCACCCTGACTACGCTTCCCTCATCTTCTGAATGGATAGCTGGGGCCACTGTGACAGGGTACACATCAAAGATCCTGCAGTATGATGGACATCAGAAAGACAATAAACTCTAGCAGTAAACTGATTTGAGGGTGATATCAATTGGTTACATTATTGCTTTGCTACAAATGCCTCTAGACATCTGGTGATCAACAGGGACCTATGTATCACTTTTTTGTTAGAGACCTAAAGTGCCTTGCTTTAGAAAGCAATGCAAGCCATTTTGTTAGGAATAGAGCACGTTTTCTTGAGTCCTTTTAAGAAATTGCTTCCTATAGATGGTATGCATACAGGAAATCCTGCATACTTTCTATATGACTCCTTTCTGAGTCGTACTCAGAGAATGCAGTAAGTGCAGAGGCTTGTTATATTCACTGCAGTTTTTGTCCATGTAGTTCAGAAATTGCCAGGAAGAAGGAATTGGATAAATTGAGGGAGAATAGTTATGTAGTTTAATGGTTGCTAATGCTACCCTACAGTTTGTGTTTTTGGGATCTCGTGTAAACAACTGCAGCCTTTGTGCTGTAGGAACAACATGATCAATGAGGTGATTTTTATGAAAGTTTTATCGTTTTAATAGAAACTAAGTAGGTTTATGTTATAGAAATTGGTTTTGATATGTGGTTGATAAAGAAATGAATAAAAGCAAGTGGAAAAATAATCTGTATTGAAAAGATGGACAATAAAGAGAGACTAGCTAAATAGAGAAACACACTTTGTATGAAAGAGCCTTTTGAAATATTCATAAATGTGGTTGTAAAAGTTTCCACTGCTAGACAGATGGTTAAAACTATATGCATACATATTGTTTTTCAGAAGTCTAGGAAGCCATTTTATTTTGTGGTTTGTGTGGAAGAAAACAAATACATTGAGTTTAATGTCAAGTATCTAAAGTTTTGGTATCAAAGATTGGTAAAACCTATTTATTAAATATTACTATAATGTGTGGGTTTTTTTTTTTTTTTTTTTAAACATGGGGTACTTACTTGCCCCATTAGTTTTATCAGTAGAGGTAATATCCTGTTTATGTTAGTGTGTCAAAAGATGTACTATTTGAATCGGGGAGTGTATGTAAGCCTTTTGTAGGAAACTGGTAAGTGTGAGGTTAAGCTCAGGAGCAAATAGATTAGTAAGTAAATGGCAATCGTGAAGAAATGTTTGTTAAATCATGTGCTGAATGCTAGAGTCCTCAGGAGCAAATTGCAAGTTTCTTTGAAGTCTGAGTTTTTTTGTTCATTTTTATTAAGGTCTTCCTTTAAACAGTGTCTTAGAAGGAGTTAATTACCAAAGCAAGACTATATATATATATATATATATATATATATATATATATATATATATATATATTCTGTTTTTTATGTGGTAGGCGGATTAAGGATGTTATATAATAGTTATCCTCTGGTTTTCAGTGCATGAATCTCAAAATTGCCACCTCCTGCAAATCTAATTACATTTTCAGAGAGTGGGGTGGTGAGTCAAAATATTTGCTTAAAATCCTGCTTCTACCTCATTTCAGTGCTGTGACTTGCAGGATTTCCCCTTTATATCTTATTTGTGGTAATTACTGAGGTCCCAACTCCAAACTTTAAATTACAGAATGTTGTATTTTTTATTTGTTCTTAATATGACTTCAGAGAGTATATCTTGAAAGAAAATCCTCGGTTGAACCTGAACTTGGAAGGCCACGGATAGTGAGGTTCATTTGAGAGATGATGTCAGGAGTGCAGGCAATAACACAACACCTTTCATACCTTTTGGCCTAAATACTTAACTGTTCTTTTCTTCTTGATTAATTGTGTAAAAACAAAATTCTTCAAAACAAATGTTTTGCAGCATTATGCATCCTTGCGTTGCCTCATCTGTCACATCTCTCTTGTTCTGAAATACTTCCTTCTTGTATGTGTGCACTACCCCTTGCTGTCCGTCTCTCCTAACCTGCTGTGTCCACTAACATAGTTGTTGTATGTCTAATCTTACAGCATGGCAAAGCTTTTAGAGAGTTCGAGTCCATTTAGCAGTTTTCTTAAAAAGAAAGATGACAATGCTAATGAAAGTTGTGCACAGAGAACCGATCACTATTTTTCTCCTCTGCCCTTCATTTTATCTCTTGAGGTGCTAGGTTAAATATGTAAACCAATCAATATTCCATAGACCAGACTAAGAGACTCATGATTGGCCAAGCTGCTTCCTGGAGTGGGCAAAGCTCTAAGACTGATGATGTAACATGTCCAAATGTGCACAAATTTAAGGATTTTTTTTTTTTTTTAAATCAAGTTTTTTTTTCTGTTTTAATATTTTGGATTGGTTGCTTTTCGATGCATCTATACAATGAATAAAAAAATTAAGTTCAATACCAGCGAGTGCTCCTTTATGGTAAACAACTGACTCAAGGGCTGTGGAAGATGTAGTTCAACCAAGATTGACAGTTCATATTTGTCTTTAGCTTAGTGATCTGTCTAAAATGACTTGTTAATTACTGTTAATTATCTAAACCCAGATAAATATACTTTTCAGCACATTCTCTTGATACTTTAGTAAAGTTTATTAAAACATGCAGTACTTATGAACGTCTTGCAACAAGATATTCCCATTTCACATTTCCTTGTTATGTCTGCTTTTAAAATGTTTCCTTTGTAAATGCTACAAACATTAAGGTTTACATCCTTTAAAAGCCAACTCATCACATGATCACGTACATTTTCTGGCAGATTGTGCTTTTAAAATGTCCACTTTGTAAATTTTACTTGTATCTACTGTGAGCTATTTGCGTTGTACAGATGTGGCACTTTGAAATAAGTATGGAATTTTTTTTTTCTTTTTTAAATGTGACATATTGAGGATTTGCAATCCTTTTGGATCCAGCATCATATTTCTACCAAATAAGATGTACAATGACATATGCAAATATTTGTTACATTTGTAAAGTGGGGTCCAATTGTATTATCTGTCAATATTAAAATAAAAACAAAAGGTTCTTTTGCAAAGTTGTGTGTGTATATATTTTTTTTTATATTTGGGTACCCCCAAGGCGTCCACAATCCTTTTGGTCTTCTTGATATCGCCAAAGCATTACCAATGTCAATTTTGTACAACTTTTAATTTATTGGCTTAGAGCAAGGGGTGCCCAAACTGTAGATCACCACATGTTGTTGAACTTCAATCAGTGGGGAATCTATCTTTTTGGCACCCCTGACTTAGAGTCTCCTATGGTTCCATACATCCAAAATGCTTTTCTCTGCCTTTTTAGATGGCATTTGTTAAATGCAAAAGCTAATGTTTTAAGTAAATAAACTGCACTCTAAGACCCCAGATAGTTCTTCTAACAATCTAAGCACCCAAATAACTGTATCTTAATCTAGTGGTTTTAGTACATAGATGCTGTATCTTTTATCTTGCAAAGTCAAACATTAGGTATAAGAAACCATGTAAGTAATGTTTATATTTGTCAGACACTACGCCTCTAAAAAAAAAAACCTTTGAAAATTGAAGTATGATGATGATTATGATGCCAAGCATTATGATGCCAAGCACTGGATTAATTTGCTTCTCGGAGAAGCATCAGATTGCCAAGATTGAGGTGTAAGTCACCACTGAGATTGAAGTGAGATTATCAAGGATGATGATCTCGGAGGAGGTGAAAAAGCAGCTGAGGGTAGACTGTTGTGGCACTGGTTTACAGTGAAGTTAAACTTTATGTTTTGTTTTTTTTAAATATTTTTTATTTTAAAAGTGAGGCCTGGAACCTAAAGAAATAAAGGACCACTCTTCAGATAAAAATGCATTTACCGGTACTTTCAAATGTAAAGGAGAACTTTAGTGTTAGGAATACTTTAGTGTTAGGAATTCCTAGCACTAAAGGATCCATCTGTCCCCCCTCTTCTCCCATATGACAGGTAAAACCATTTTTCACTTACCTGATTCCAGCACCGAGACACATTGTAGCTGGGTCAGGCTCCTCCTGCACAATCAGCTGATGAAGGGGGACCTAATGTGCAAGTGAATCAATGCTTTCCTATGGGGTTTTAGTAGATTCTGGATGTCTTCAGGCAAAGCTTGAGGACGTCCAGTGTCGTTTCACAGAGTCAAACTCCGTGAAAGTCCAGGATGTGCCGCTATAGGCTGTCTTAAACCTGCAATATAAACACTGCAGTTTCTCTGAAACTACAATATTTGCAGCTGCAGGGCTAAGGGGAAAGGGACAGTGCAACAAGACCACTTCAAAGAGTTGAAGTGGTCTGGGTGCCTATAGTGTCCCTTTAATGAGAAATTATTATAAGATAATTAGGGGGAAAAAAGCTTATCTACATGATTTTAGATCATTGTAATTCAGTCTAACAAATTCATGTGCAATGGAGATGTATGCTCTGCAGCTGTAGAGCAGCACTTGTATAACTTGCAATGTTGCACATGTTATAGAAACCAGGTTCAAACTGTTAAGGAATTAAATAAAGAATTCTGATCTCTGAGCAACAGTGTTTGTTCCAAGAAGTTTTGCTGCGGGGCTTTTCCAGGTATCTATTAGCATTCTTGTACAATGGTACATTTAACACAATAGCTCTTGGTCTTTCGCCCTCCTTTAAATTATGCCACGTACTATTTCCAGCACCGTTGTTTACTGTTATGTAAAACAAACCTTCTTACCTTTTCCATACAGATCTCTTTGTTTATTTTCTAAATTTTTCAAAAAATAATTTATCTGCATAAGAGTCTCTTATTGCAGGTTTCATTTCATTTCCTGATTTCTTCCAAAGTTTTCGTTTTTTAAAGTGATATGCAAAGTACCAGCTATCTTCTTGTAGTAAAATGCATTATGGGGAGATTGATTTTTGATACATACAATTGGCAATGAATGAGTGACTCCTTTTTATATTTTTGTATTTGATGAAGTGGACTTTAGCTCAAGTGTTGTAACATTAGCTCACCTGGTATCAATTGCATATCCAAACAAAGGTCTCTTGCTGCAGAGACTACCCTTTCAGACCTCTGTCTCTCCATGGACAGCTGCAGCTCATTGGCAGACAGCATTCAATGCCACCCTTGCCAATGCCCAGCCTGATGAACCTGATACAGCGTTCTATGTGTAATGATGGATCACTGTTTTAATTTTTGCTTATATTGATGTTAAAGTTTAACTGAAATTTCAGTATGGGTCATTTTGACAATATGCGTTTTCTAATGCTTTACATTATTATTATTTTATTATTTATAAAGCGCAAACAAATTCCGTAGCGCTGTACAATGGGGTGAAAGAGGCTCGAAGATTTGAGATAACGTTATTATTTTTTTAATGATTTGCGGAAGTTAAAATGAGGAGTTCAGACTGCTGAATGTTTTTGATCAGGCTGTTATTACATCAGTAATTTGCTGAAGTTGAAATTAGCTGTTGACCATGCACACTTTCCTGGGAATTTTGATTAGCTCAGCAGAGGATTGATAATCCAGCCTTACTAGAGAAAAGCTGATGCTGCACAGGCAATAGAGCCTGGGATGATACTGAACAGTAGCCAGTCTGTGTTCCATAGGAGACGATGCTAAAGTTCATGTCAGTATCTTTGCTTCTACTGCTTTTATTCCGACTACAGGCCTGTAACAATTGAAAAGTAGACATCCATGGGAATCATGTTTGATTGTTATGTCATTCAAAGTTCCTTTTCTTTCTGGAGGATATTCAGCAGCATTTACTATATCAAAAAATAGATACAAGGCTTTAAAAGTTTCACTCTTAGTTTTGGTACATTTCAGAGGTAGAAAATGAAGGTTTTTATTTATTTTGTGGCCACATTCAGACATTGAAAGCATATGACTTACTGGCTCTTAAGTACACCAGCAGTAAAAACGAGCACACCATCTTAAACATGCGCAACTCTACCACTTATCAGCACACTCATACATAGCTAAGAGATAGCACTACCTCTTAGTTGGTAATAATGGGTGGTGACTATCCTCAGAACAATAAGCAAATGTGGAGGGGGCTCAATTCATTTTATGAGTGTTTAGAGTAGGAGCAAATTACATGATGAGAGAGAGTAAGCAAGTGATGTGGAAAAATAATGTGCTCAGCATGGGAAAGATACCCTTATTCACATGCGCACACCATTATTACGAGAAGAAGATCCCTGAATGTGCCCTCCTCTTAGAAGTGAAATGGTGGTAAGTAGACTTGTGCATAGTGAAAAAAAATTTAGGATTGGCCTGGCTAGCAATTGTTTTCGTAAAAAAAACAAAACGTTTTGGACAAACCAAAATGGTGTGAAACAGTTGTTATCCTTGTTCTGCCATATATTTATAAAATAGAAATATTTACACACTATTTGGTTTACAGATCAAGTGAGAAGTAGAAACAGATTACAGGGGAAAAAAAGGGTCAGTTAAAAAAAAAACCAACTAATTATATATTAGATTATTCTGCTCCTTTTCCCCCCTCTATTGGTAATTTGATCTGTGAATAAAATCAACATTTGGTGGCTCTCCTTTAGCCTTTATTCATCTTTTTTTTTTCTAGCAATTATGTTTATTTTTTGGCGCCATGGATTGAAATCAGAATCACAAAACAAATTATATGGTTCGTCCATTGTCAATTTTGTTCGTTTTGTGATTCATCCAAATAGTGTTTTAGAGTGCTAGATTCCGTACAAATCACTGATCCCCATAATTTGGATAAAATACAGTTATTTTGAAACCAAATACACTAGTCTAGAGGCAAATGTGTTAAATGCTACACTGCGATGAGGAAGAGTGGTCAGAAATGTTGACATTAAGCTCTATCATGCCCTATACAATAGTTGGAATTTTTCCAAAAGTGGTATTTTATGAACCAGAGCAATGTTTTGTTTTTTTTGTTTTGTTTAATATGACCAATTCTTTAAAACAAACTAGTTAGTAAAATGTTGCACACTTACTTTACTCAAAACCTAACAAAATATACACAAACATTGAGGAAAGTAGTGATGATTATAGAAGTGAGAAGATGGATTGAATTCTAAGATGCAAAGATGCCGTATACAGCAGGAGAGTGCAATTTTAGTTATCCTCATGTGTATTTTACTAAACACACTCCTTAAAATTTGTACACAGGGCCGGCGCAACCGCTAGGCGAATATTTCCTGGTGGGCTCTCCCTCTCTGGGCCACAGTGCTGGGCGAACCGCTCTTGAGCCGCACCCCCCAGCACCGGGCTGATCCTCTGAGTGCCAGAAAATGCGGGCGCCAAGAGGAACTTTGTCACAGGGGGCCCACGAGGTGGCCACCCCAGGGCGCCCGCTAACCTGTGCTATGTAAGGCAGAGGAGGCACCTGCTTACCTTGATGGCAGGTGCCTGCTCTGCCAACAAATCCCAGTGACCGGAAGAGAGGGGGACGGAGAAGGCAGGTGGCGAGGGAGGCTCTTCTTGCTGCTTCCCACTCATCCCTCGCGTGCCCTCTGTGATGCCGGGAGCCGGAATATGACGTCATTTCGGCCCCGGCATACTAAACAGTGCACTGGAGGAGTGAGGAGCTGCCCCACACTGGACCCCAGGGAGGTAGGGAGGCTGGATGGGCCTCAAAAAATTAAATTGTGTGAGTCTGTGTGTCAGTGAGTGTTTGACTGTAAGTGTGTGTGTGTGTCTGTCGAGTTTCTCTGTGCATGTCAGTGAGTGAGTATCTGTGTGTGTGTGTGAGTGTGTCTGTCTGTCAGTGGTAACTGAATGTAGAGGTTTATAGAGCATAAACAATATTGTGCTAGTGTATTTACTTGTACTCTATTATTGTTATTATTATTATACAAGGACATTAAAAGAAATGGGTTGACCGTTTGTTCCTCCTACTCATTAGTGTGATATCGTTTACCCAGCCCCAATGAGGATGTGAGCTGTTGCCTCGGGGAGTAATTAAGCTGCCCAAAATGTGATGAGTTGATTAATTCTGGTATGAGTAATGATTTCCATCAGCAGAAACAGAAATGGGTGAGGCTTCCAAGTGAAACCAATGTTTATATTACCCTATGTA